GGCTGGTCTACCTGCATGTGCCATCCGACTTCTGCAGCTCATCCAGAATGCAGCGGCTCGTCTGGTCTTCAACCTTCCTAAATGTTCCCACACCACACCGCTCCTCTGCTCCCTTCACTGGCTTCCAGTAATTGCTAGAATCCACTTCAAGACACTGGTACTTGCGTACCATGCTGCGAATGGATCTGGCCCTTCCTACATCCAGGACATGGTTAAACTGTACACCCCAGCACGTGCACTACGCTCTGCATCAGCCAAACGGCTCGCTGCACCAGTGCTGCGAGGGGGACCCAAGTTTCCATCAGCAAAAACACGTCGGTTTGCTATCCTGGCTCCAAAATGGTGGAATGAGCTCCCCATTGACATCAGGACAGCAGAAAGCTTAGACATCTTCCGGCGCAGATTGAAAACTCATCTCTTTCGACTTCACTTCGAGCGATAAAATGAATTAAAAATGAAATGAAAAACCGCACTTAGATACTAACTAAGCACTTACATACTAACAAAGGACTGGCTTATCTAAAGCTAGTTGAGTAGCACTTGAAATATTTTGGCTCTATGAAACCTGATGTACTTATATGATTCGGTTTTCTTCAAGTTTGTATCTTCTTGGTCGAATGCACTTATTGTAAGTCGCTTTGGATAAAAGCGTCAGCTAAATGAAATGTAATGTAATAGCGTAAATAACATAGAACAGAATTATGTAATATGGTAACAAAAAAAGCCATTGCACATTAAGTTACGCTATATTACGTTATGTAACGTTATATTACATTACCCCGGCTCAGAGGAAACATGATAGGAGGCATAGAACTATTATGTGCAAAACAAAGTTTATTTCATAAAGTCAAGCAAAGGTTAGGAACAGGAAGTGATGGCTGATTACAATGCTGCCTGGGAGAGACAGAGGAAGTGGGCGGAGCCTGACAGCTGGCCAACAGGTGCCAAGTAATCAAGAAAGGATAGAGGGAGCACTTCCAGGGCTGAAGTCGAAAAGTCCAGGGGCGGACTGGGACTAAAGATCAGCCCTGGAATCCTGAAATATTTCTTATAGTCCAAAGTGGACTATGGCAAAGAAAAGCACAAAAGCTTCAAAGCTGTACTGATAAAACAAATGAGAACATATTGTAAATCAAGGCACATATAATTTAAACCAGCTCATGGTTTGAAATGGCAAACATTGAAAAGCAAAAGTATTATTAAAACCATGTACTATATCATCACCTTGGTCCCATCATATACTCTGGGAAGAGAATATTTATTGTGCTTGAAAACTGGTATCACATCATCATGTGAGGTTGACTTTGTGACCTGGAGAACATTTCAGCTGCAACATTAGCTTGTTGATAAGCTTGAGATGTGAGATCTTTTTGTAGCCATTCGTGGTGAAGGCATCTGTGCTATTGTATGCATTATTTTTGACCCAACATTTCTACAGGCATGGCAGAATATGGCACTATTTTCACATGAATATTCTAGCCCTTATCTATTTGTATACCACGAGCTGCAACATGACCGCCTAACTAACCCCACTGTATAGGCGAGTTATTGTTTAGATATACCTGGGGAGGCTCTGTTTTGCCGTGGTATCCTCGCACCTGCGGGCCGCAGAGGGGCGGCGTAGTTTGGGGAGACGAAGACTGCTGCTCCGGGGGCGAGTCAGGGGGGAGTAAGCTAGTGTCCACAACGGAGGGTAACGTGATGTCCCCATCTGACCCGTTGCTACTGTCTGCAGTAGATGCAGTGTTGCTGGCGTTTAGTGATGGTTGCTTTAACCATTTTCGTATAAATGATTATCCACAGATGTGTGTCACTGCTGTGAAAGCACTTTGGAAATGATGCACGCGCAGCTGCCCCGAAGATCCCGACGCGAAGCCTTAAGGGTAATCACACCAGGTTTACTAATCTACCCGCACAATTTGTCCGGTGTCGGATATGTCTCGCTATGTTACATTCTTAAAAAACAAAACACCATTTAATTTCGGGTTGAACTGTGTTGTAACTGCGTTACTGGGCATTGTAACGGGTAATATATTACCCACATTTAATAAGTAATACGTTACATTACTTCGTTACAGCAAAAAGTTATACTGTAACTCCGTTACTTTCGTAACACGTTACACCCAACACTGGTCACCACCAGGGGCGTCGCCTGGACCTGAAAACATTCGGGGCTTAGCTCACAGTGGCGCTACAGTGGAATTTTCTACTGCAACACTCCTCACACGCAAACACACAGTACACCCGCGACTGTTACAATGAAGGCTCGATAATCAGCTCACGGCATATAGGCAGGGGGTACAGTGCTATTTTTGTTATGAGTGGGGGGCGGACCTCACCTCCCCCCCGGGAAGATTTTTTTTAAATATTGAAGTTAAAAGCATCAATCTGGTGTAGGCTACTCTGAGAGCAACATTAAGAGATCTATGGATACCTCTCTCAACACATTACATTTCATTTTAGCTGACGCTTTTATCCAAAGCGACTTACAATGACCAATTACAGGGACATTCTCCCTGGAGTAACTAAGGGCTAAGTGCCTTACTCAAGGGCACACTAGTGGTGGTGTTCCAGACGGGAACACCCATATGAAACAGAACTGTTAACAGATTTTCTTTTTCTTTATGGATATTTTACAAATCACTCCCCTTTTAAACTGTACTCTTGTTTTACTGCCATATAGTAGATTTCATAACTGTTTTTCCTTTATTCTCTTGTTTTTTGTATAACTATAAAGATCATATGAAGGTGTGCGGCGGAAATAATCTTTTGAATAATTTGTGACCAAACCGTTTGAGACCCACTGAGATAACTTAGACTAAAGTTAACTATCTAAACACTCAGAGAGTCCTTTGTTTAGCTCACTGAGCCTCTCAGTCTGACAGGAGAGGACTCTCAGTCTGAGAGGACTCTCCTCCAGCTTGTTGTGGAACAAACAGCTCCTTATGTCCGTTAGTGCAGCTAGCTAACCAGATGGGGGGCGCCAGGCTTCAGATGATTTGAGGCCAAATATCATATTTAGACTTTTTTCAAAAAAAATGTGTAACATATAATTGTAACGCAATACATGATTGTCGCAAAAAGCCTTGTCTCTACAATACAATAAAATATAAAAAATAATTGATTAATTAATTTTAATAACAATTCAAGTTAGTAGCTATTATAGGCATAAAAATACATAAATGTATCATTCTTTCTTTAATAGAAATGTTTCTTCTGCCCGTAAATTGTCCAAACCGGGCTTTTCTGGATAAGCGCATTTTTTAAAACATAGTCATTGTCCATGCCGGTTTCAGTTGGATTATTTGTCACAGTTGCTCCGATCAGATCGTTCTCCTCCATTTTGTGGATTATTTACGAATCCACATAAACACATCGGCAAAATCCGGCTTACTTTGAGCATGTGTTTTAAACAGTTTAATCCCTTTGTGAATTGTTTCCACTTGCGCCGTCCTTTAATTTCTTCATACAGCGGGAATCCAAATGAATTAATCCTGAGTCCAATAACCATCAAAGTCACTCCAATAGTGCTCCTTAATTACGCTTTCATCCTCCTTTAACAAAATACTTCACATTCATCCAGTTTGTGACAGTAGTTGTTGCATTTTTGAGACTTTGAAACTTTAATTACCACTGTTGCGCCCCCCCTTGTGTGTGTGTGTGTGTGGGGGGGGGGGGCGCAACTTCCAACAGGAGTCATTTGGGGGGGCTCTTGGGAAAAAAGGTTGGGAACCCCTGTTCTAGATGATAGAATGGACCTCCCTCACCGAAAGGAGAGGAGAAAATGCTGCCCCACAATGCCTTGCAGCCGCAGCATTTGCCGTCACACAACAGTCGCCGTTCACGGAAACAACCGATTATGACCGAGAAATTATATCATGAAAGTTACGGTGCTTATTAAGCATTTTAAACGTATGTGGTAAGTTGCCAAAGTGCTTTGTTTTGAACGTTCATCAGTATTATAATCAAAAGGAGAAATATGAACGTTAGTTTTTACTGAAATGATCAAATAAAGTCAACATTTCACAGTCTTTACTGAGCTGTGTGGAGTTTGTTCAACTTTTAAAAGATGTTTGAATGGTGATATAAGTTTCACCGTCCTTTTTTATTTCAATTCCAACTTTGGTCATGAAGAATATGTTTCTCTGTTGTCCACGTTCATAAAGCATAAAACAACAGCATCAGAGCACGGTGCAGAGTCTCTAGATGAGTTTACAGTAGTCCCTCCTTCTTCTTATACATCCATGTTGTAGTCCGCTATAGAAAACTGTAGTTTCCATAGTTTCCCCACAGCAGCAGACGCACAAAATGACGTCCGCTGGCGCATCATAAACACGTCGGATAGTGATAGTGCAGTCGGATTCTCTAAAGTACCGCAGTCTCTTCTCCTAAGTCCTTTTGAATTCTCCTATCCACTATCCCTTAACCCCATGACGTTTCACTCAGAGGTCAAGGAATAGATGATAGGGTTAGACGTTAGGAGCTGATTTTTGGATTATCCGACCGCAACCCAGGTCCCCTGCAGAATATGTCATACAGAACAACAGAGCAGCTTAGACAGAACATATGTCATGAGGTCATAGGAAAGTCAGAGTATATAGTAGGTCATAAAAACTCATCATAATCATAATATAGAGGTCAAAAAGTAATTGAAAAGAATGTCGAAAATGTAAGGGTAAAGTATTTCTAAAAACATATTTTTTAAAGTCATAGTATAGTATTTAAAAAACATGGAAATAAAATCCTAGTATAGTATTTCAAAAAATATTGAAAAGTAGTTTAGTATGTCATAAAAACGTTCATTCACAGTCCCAGCAACAAAAGTAGGATTGGAAAATAACACCATCGAGCCCCCCCCTCATTTCAACCTATGTAATCTTATGTTCAGAAAGGCCAAATTAAAGCCAGTATAAAGAAAAGGAAAATGACAAGGGTGGCCAATAACTCAAAAGTGAGTATTGAAATGGAATAGCATTAAAAAAACAAACTCTTTAATATTCTTTAATTTTATTTGTCAAATATAAAAATGCTCATAAATCACAAAATATAATTATAAAAACAATTGAAGGCACTTGGTCTTAATTAAAAAATAAAGTACAATTAGATAACATTATTTAAAATATTTTTGCAGCAAAAATGTATGCTAACAGAATAGTTTATAAATGTTTGTTAAAATATTTGGACAGCATGGTTACAAAACAGAAAATATATATTCTGTTTTCTGGACGTGGTTCTTCTGGTCGGGTCGAGACTCGGGGGGTTATGCCTTTTCTGTAAAGTTTGATGCAACAACACATTTGATTAAGCTGCATCTTTTTCACAGGTGTTTACATATTTAAAACCTCTTACTTGTTTGCTCCTGTGTGAAAGTGATGTAGGAGTACACCAGACTGCCTGCGATGCTGGGGAAACAAAGAGAAACACACGTCAGACAGAAACAGCAGCCAGCGCCATGACAGCACTGTTTCAGTCCTGGGTGTCGTACCTGATGTTCAAACCTAGGAAGTTAGTCCAGCTGAATATGTAGTCTCCTCCGAACACCATCCCAAGGTACGTCACAAGGATATTCTGCAGGAGTCAGAGATAGAGTCGTTACACACATCTGTATTTCTGGGTATGGAGGGAGGGAGGGAGGGAGGGAGGGAGGGAGGCAGGTGAAAGACCTACCTTAATACAGCCCACGATGGAGGTGGTGAGTGCTGAGTTGTACTGCGTGCACAGCATGATGGAGTACATTAAAATGAAGCTGTGAGACACATAGAGGAGTTAGACAAGAGCTGCATTGTGGGATATACTCTATTAAAGGCTACAACAATTATGTTAGAAACGTATTGACATGACGAAAAGTAAGGAATATTGACCAGGATTCCTGCACAGAAAACCCTTTTAATAACCGGTGGGTAAAAGGCCCAAACTTGGGTATGGTTATTGTAATGCCCCTCCTACAGCACTGGGGCAACATAGTATTCAGTGGTGTGCAATACAAATGTCATCAGAATACTAATAGTCTAATATCTGATGAAAAAAAAGTCATTAAAAAGTAATTGTATGTTATTATATAAATCATGTCTTGGTATAGTATGTCGTAAAACAGTTATATTAAGTTTGTCATAAAAAAAGTTGTTACAAGCCATAGTATAGTAAGCCAAAACATAATACTATGCTAGGTCACAAAAAAGTAAAGACAATTCATTTCTTTTTTTCTATACAATGCTGTTATTTCCTGATATTTTCGGAATACCATAATATTACTTTTTTTCTCATATTTTCAACAAAGTATACTATGTTGTTTTTCTAATATTTTTAAACATAGGACTTGTGTTTCTCTTTAAATGATATAAGGCAACATATAGTACTGATTCACCGAACTGTAGCTTGCTCTGAATTACTTTAAGCAAAGTACCTTTCAAGTAATGCACATTTATCTGAAAACGATGTTGTCTTTTTTCTTATTTTCAACATATTATAGAGTGGTGCAGAGAGGACGTATTTACCCAGAAGTAAGCTGCTGGTTCCCTCGACAAAAAAGCAATGGGATTTCTCCATAGGATTTTGGAAAATAGCTCGAAATAAGGTCTGTGGAAAACGAACCTGTTTGATAAATACACGTTTTGTTCAGCCGGATAATTTCCACATGTCTACCCTACTTTTATAATTTTCGAATCATAAATCTAATCGCCAGAAGCAAAATGCTAACGTTATGCTTTAAACGAACTACAGCAGGGTCGCTGCTTCAACGTCACGCCAACTTAAGATCCATATTCAAAAATACAGATTCAAAATTGTACAAGTTGAAGCTTTTGTTTTAACAGTTTGCAGGAGGCAGGGACTTGCTTTCAAGCAGAACACGGCAAACAAACTTAGAGGAGTGTTTACGTGTTCGGTGTAATGACGTACAACGTCCTCCACAACTTCTGTAGTCCTATTCAGCCACTTGGTAACAACCATCGTTTTTCAGACATGTAAACTCTTCAAAGATCACCAGTGGGGTCACTGCTGATGGATTTCATGTCGTAGAACCAAACGTGATCCGTCTCTTAAATGTGTTTCAACCACAGACCTTATTTCCAGCTATTTTCCAAAACCCTATGGAGAAATCCCATTGACTCTGAGACGAGGGAACCGGTAGTGGTTAAAATGCTGACTCACTTCCGGGTTTTAGGACTCGTCACTGCACCACTCTATACTATATAGTTTTAATGAATATTCTTGAAATGGAATACTATTACTTTTCTGTTTTTTGTAAGTCATTAAAAATGCAATCTATAGTACTATTCGTCCGACAGAAGTAGTTATTTGACAGGCCTAATGAATAAACAAATGATGGATAAAGAGTTTACCCCATGACGCAGGAGAGCACAAACTGCATCACAAACAGCTGATCAGACCATCCATCAAACTCCAAGCCCTGCACACAAACACACAGAGAAGACATCCGCTTTAGTTGTCCCAAACTAAAATAAAAATATAAACATGAATTTATTTGCGATAAAAAAAGCAATCCTTACCACTTGCAGGTCCCCTGAGAAGTAAGCGTATGCCGCAGTGGGGAATATCATGATTAAAGCGTTGTAGTACAGAAGCCCATATTTGCCGAGCTCCTATGGGAACAGCAGAACAATCCTTCACAAACAAAGCAGCAAACAAACATCGCACACAGTGAGGGGGGGTACAACTAGGAGCTCCTCACCTTGGAATCAAGTTTCTGCTTCGTATACACCCCACCGGCCGCTGTCAGAGCATTGTTCAGCATTATGCACATGTATCCTTCAAGGTCGAAAGCTAAATCGGCGCTACAAAAACATGTGAGAATAAGACACTGTGAATCGGATAATACCAGTGTTTTGTGTACTGGTATGTATGGTGGCCGACTCGTGAAAACGCGTTACAACGGCCTGAAACACATACATTAGGAGGAACACGCTACACATTCAAACCAATGTAAATATAAAAACACAAATGTGCCAAAACACATGCAAATGAAGAAACATCTTCACCAAATTGCAAAACATGCGCAGCATTTACTAAAAGCGTTGCATAAACAAAACGCTGCAAGTAAAAAAACTCAGCATGAAGCTGAAAACACCACGCATCGTTTCTGAAAGTGTACCGCGTTTCTCCTAATGGACGTGTTTTAGGCCGTTGTTGCGTGTTGACGCCTTTTGGCCACCGTATATTGTGGATATCTTACCTTGCAGCAATAAAAGCCCCAAATATCATGGTAAACACTGTAATCTTGATTGACGTAGAGAACGTTTTCCTGCCAGGAGAGGAAACCATTTTTTTAATTATTTATTGGCGGGTGAAAGAACAATCTTGTAAAATATTAATGAGGAAACTTACTTCAGCAGGAGTCCCTCAAACACCATGGTGAGGAAAATACTGAACCTCCTCAAAACTGTAAACATGGGTAGACTAGGAAAAGGGGAAAATGTGGTTTAATTTGCGATTTCCTATTAAGGAAAATATGTTTCATATCATTCATATTTTAAATAAAAGCTCTAACTTGAGTCGTTGTGTCCCAAACAGCCCTGATATCTGATTCCCGACATACAGTAGAGGCAGTGGAAACATCTGGAAGGACAAAAGAAATGTTGAAAGCAGTAGTTTTGATCGTATTCTTGTGTATCACAGAGAATTGATTCACAGTGTCACCTTGCGAGGTATACTCAGATCCGTATCTGGAAAGGAGATAATGCCAAGCGCCTTCCCGATCCTCAGAACTACGACTGTAGCCAACATCTGCAGATATATGGAAGCACCCACACACAGTCAGGAGAGGCTTCTCAATTCTTAAATTTCCCCTCCTCGACTCCTCGGTCCTCCGGTAGTGACCCGGAAATGGATTTCAGCGCGCCATGTTGAAGGACATCTAATTTCTCTAAATGCACTTCGAGGACCGAGGATCGAGCGTCGAGGAGGCTCTCTGGAGGAGCTCTAACCGAGGAGACACTGATGGGTCCTCCACGGCTCCTTCGTGGATGCATTTCCGGGAACGGTGGAGTCGTGACGCACGGCCGGACTTATCTCAGCCAACATATCCAGTCTCTGATTGTGTTACGTTATTATGAGAGTGCTCTCATACTTGTTTGAATCTGAAATTGTATATATTTATTTATATATGTGTGTGTGTGTGTGTGTATATGTCCGCATCTGTAGCCTGTTATTGTCTCATTATACCGCACTGTGAATGAATCAAAGTAAATATATAAGTGGTCATGAACACATCTGTCCATCAGACAGAGGGCTGCTGTGCCTCCTGTCATCATTAATGGAGGTCTCTTTAAAATGCCCGCTCAAAGGAGAGGAGTTCTCATTTCTCTAACCGCCTGCTGCTTCCCCTCCTCTCTCCTCCGCTCGCATCTCCTGTGGGCGGGACTAAGTCTCGAGGAGGGGAGTCGAGGAGGGGAGTCGAGGAGGGGGAATTTAAGAATTGAGAAGCCTCTAGGGTCTGTTCAGGAGGACAGGAAGTGTCTATGATCAGAATAAAGACACACTTACCTGGCCGAGTCCGACACATGTTGACGATGGAAATCTGTCAAACACGTACAAAATGGTATGATTTAGGAAAAAAAGTTTGTTTTAGGCACAAAAAGGAAATGAAAGACTTTTAGATTTAGCATTTTGCATTCTATAATAGAATTGCTTTGTTGCATTTGAAAATAAAGTAGTAACAGTGATTGAAAGTGAATTTGATAAATAACTGTACTAAAATACCATGTCAGTAGAGGTGCTTGTATTTGAATACTTAACATAAAAGCTATTTGGTGTTCACTTTAAAAAGGCGTGACCGACCTGTTATGCAATACAAATATTTGTTTCTTAAACAAACATAGGGTAAAGTGATGAATAAGCTGCACTTTGGCCACATACAACATGCTAACACATTAATGCACATTGTTGTTCAGTAACACTGAAAGATTCATTCTGCTGCATGAACACCTTTACTTACATTTAGTTTAGCAACTTTTTATGTAACTTTTAGCAATTAACAGACAACAATTTAATATTAGAGAAAACAGTAAATGGCAAAACCTAGTTTACCAGTAACAGCATTCATACATAATAGTCATACAGTCATTGAACTGAGTCTGACTATGCCTCAGTGGTAACAGCAGACCAAGACCCTGTGAGTGAGTGGACAGGGAAAGCGTTTAACTGCTTATGAAGTCAACTTTTTTCTTTAGGATAGGAACAAATGTACATACTTTGCTTCATGACATTTCCAATGCAGGAGTATCACATTAATAGAGTATGTTTACATTGTAAAATGCATACTATTACACAAATAATATGTTGAACACATTTTTCCTATAGTGTTTAGAGATATCTGAAGATGATATAGTTGACATTTTGAAGATTTTTCTCTGAAGATTGTACATAGTTTGAAGTGAAGGGGGGTCGGGGGACATATTGCTTCAGTATTTATGTAGGTATACAGTAACTTAGTACATACTTCTATTCTAAATATTGTACTTGGCGTTCCACTGCAGATCTTGTAACATTAATGTTATAAGACAGATGTGTAAGGAAGACTTTTTTCTGAGTCCAGAATCTCTAAATAAAGGTATTTCCCCCTGCTGTCACTGCTCATAACGTGTCCGAAACGCAGCTTCCGCCAGGGTAACTTGAACTTTGCCCCTTTACCTGTAGCTGGTGAGGACGCTTTTGTTGACAATAACGATGATGAATGAGCTGACTCCGTAAAACCCCGCAGCAAACAGCCTCAGATACACCGAGTAGCTATCACCGGAAGTGGCTGTGTTTGTTGCGGAGGATGGTCGTGTAGGTGACGGCTTTCTGTCTCCGATCTCATGTCGCCGTCTGTGCGGCTCAGCCATTGTTTATGTAATGAACACTATGGACGTTTCTAACGGAAGCCCACGAGTTCTGCTGCGCATGCGTACAACTATCTGAAAGACGATATCGGTGAAGAATGAAACGGAGAGGGAATCATCTTGACTCAACGTCATACTTTGAACATTCAGGGGGATAAAAAAACACAGACTTTATACTTTTTTTTATTTACAGTCTATAGTTAAAACGCTAGATAGAACATTGCTTTTTTCAGTACGTACATATTATCATATTTTGGTGAGGACATTTTACCTAAAGAACACGATTTCTTATTAAAATTCTGCCATCCTAATTTCTCCAACAATACATTTTAGCCAAATGTTACAGTCATTGCAATTATCAATATATTTAAACAAACATATCTTTAAACACTATTACATGAAAAACATGTAATAAATAAATTAAACAAAATGAGTAATTCATGCAAAATGTCTAATATCAAGTTTTGTCTGGGTTCTCGTTTGCTATTTAAAAAAAAATTGAATTCATAATTCTATTCAACAAACTTATTTGTTGTTTTTTAACTATTTCATCCATATTTTACCACATTTCCTTAAGACTGTCCAAAATGCATTGTTAAAAAAATATTGTTCAACTAAAGTAAAACAAAACATTGGAGTATTTAACACTGTTTTAGTTTTAAATACTTTAAAACACGCCTGAAGTTACTTTTGGAGAGTAATTTCTCGAAATACATGTAATTCCTGCTTTTAAAAATTGCACTTTACATATAAAAAACAGTTAATGGAGTACTTTTATTGAGTTTGTTGTTTAAAATGTTCTTACTCGGGACAGCCTCAATTTTTATGTTGCACATTATCACCGGTGCCTGTTTCAAAGACTTTGGTTTAAAAATCTCACTATTATTGACAAAACATCATTTTATGTAACTGTACGCAAAGAATGGTTACATTTACAGGTAATACGACAAAACGTTATGGTCATTCTGGAGGCAATAGTGTGTGGTGCTGGTGAATTTAACCAATCAATTTTTATACATTAACATTATAAACATCTTCTCGGTACAAATTAAAAGATACATCAACATTAAAGCCATGGAATGAAGGATGATGTATTAGTAAAATGCCTCAGTTGTAGTTAGTTGTACCGAAAATAACTAGAAGCTTAAATAACACTACGATGGTTGCCGCTTCAAGCAATGACGAGAGTCCAAAGCACGTTTTTTTTTACACCTTTAAAATCACAGTAATGATTTTAAACAACCCAAACAGCCATTGGCAGAATACATGTAACACCTCTAAAGCGATTTATTAGAACAGGGATGTTTGCAGAGAAAGTTTCACTGTCATGTGTCTCAAACAGAAAGAAAGAAAGGCTCCAGCCGTCTGTATCAGTGCATCAAGCCAGCCAGTGTTTGCAGAGCACAGCATGTAAAGCTTTCAATTCTCTCCTTTTTAATAACCCCCACCTAATGTTAAATACACCCGCTTCACTCAAATATAAACACTCGGTGGATATGCTGACACAGGGGCTAAAGCTCCGTTAGCCTATATTACATTCTGTAGCTCCAGATTGTTCCAAAAATGGCATTTGTTTCAGACAAATTATGCATTGGTGCTGGTTAAATAAAAAATAAATAAAAATAAAACGTTTACAGAAGAGGGGAAACAATCTTTAGAGAACTGGTGCCGGTAAAACCAAGTGCTTCAAAAGACATTCGAGATGCTCTAAGAGCAAAGATATGTCCACAGTCTATGTTTCTCACTCGGGCACCGCGTCCACATATTGCTTTTGCCTGGAAATATATTGTTTCTTTCACAACTACAACCGACTGGATAACTAATTCTCACACTTTGGCTGAATGAGCTTCAGCACTCGGTCTAACAGCTGTAGAGCGAGAAGGACGATTTGTATAATGAGAAAAAGTACAGCACTCGTAGATGTTGTACATATTAAAGTACAACACTCAGCCAGTGGCAGCAACAGTTAAGGCCGACCTGCCAAGCTGCTCCAACAAATCCACTTTTTGGTTCAGTTAGGGGCCCTATTAAGCTCTTTATCTTTCTCATACTGCAGCACCTCTTTTCACCCTCTGTCTGAAACCAGAGCCCAGTCTGCTCTGATTGGTTAGCTGGCCGGCTCTGTTGTGATTGGTCAACCACCTAAAAGGTGTCCTGCCCCTTACCCTATCACGTACGTACAAAGTGTCGGAGCACTAGCCAATAGAAGCACGACTGTTACGTAATGATGTCACTAAGCTACAGTCCAATGGTATATACAGTACAGGAAAGGGAAAACCACCAAAAGCATAATCGGTAAATATTATAAAATACAACTGAAATGACTGCTGAAAAAAGGTGGAGAACTCAGAAAAAAGCGCTATGTGGACTCAGGCCTTTAAATCTTTACCATCACTTCTCAAAAGACTGTATGAACTACCTCAGGTGAGAGGAGTACTTCAATTCTAAGTAGCCAGCTGTCAAATTCACTCATTCATTCTTTGCACACACACTCACAGCCACACACATATCCTTAACAACAAAAATACAATATTTCCTTAGTGGTCCAGAAGTAACATTAGCAGTCGGTATGACCTACGAGGACCAACCTAAAAAAATATACACATTGGGCCGTGGGACACCCTGAAAACACAGGTAGCACATCTGGATCAGGGGCAACAAAGCATCACTAACCACTGGTCCACCAAATAATGGCAAGCTATCAAAAAATTGGAATAGAGGCATTTACCTTCACTGCACAACAAGCAGAAAATTACCAAGCTTTTAAAGTCACTGCCTGGTTACCCATCCAAAATTTGTGCCTTGCAAAAAAGGGGATGGGTATTCAGAATCAGAGCGATGACACTTTAAATGCAGTTTAAGCCATACTCCAATAGCATGTAGTAGATATCTAGAACACGTTTCCTATGTGGTGTAGTGCTACCACATCAGTGTGTATTACTGGGAGGAAAACCCTCCAGTACAAAGTCTTTTCTAAGATCACCCCGTAATACTGAGCTGAAGTCATGAGGGGCATAAAAAGCACAAAAGCTTCCGAAGGGGGGGGGGGGAGATACACACACTTCAATCTAAATCGCAAAAATTCATTAATTTAAGCAGCACAACAAATATCAATGAAGTATGTATCATCTCTGAAAAGAAAAAAATAAAGAATGAAAACATCCCTGCTTTCATGTTCCTAAATACAAAACTTCATTGTAACAAGAGCTCCTTTTCCCGCCTTTTGTTCTCCTTTAAAACAGGTCATTTAGAGTCCTCTGGTGGTGCGAGTGGTATGGGATGACAGTCTCTCTTAAGTCATTTAAAATCTTTTTTTCCCTCTGTTTTTAGTTATATATTTGAAGATGTGGTGAGCATGCAAGCCTTGTAGAGGAGGGGCCCGGAAGGGGCTGATGGGGGGGGGGGGGCTGCTGGTAGAAGAGGGGGGGGCCTTCAGGCCAGTGCGGGGAAGGCCTCAGGGTCGTCCACGTTGGGGACGGACACTCCGCCAGCCTGGGGAGAAACACAGACACACCAGGACACATTAGGAGAGCTGTAATCAGTCCATTAAATACACATTCTTTTATAATATTATTTTTTTTTAAACATTCAGCAACTTCAATGTTTAGGTTCACTTGCTGTGTTTGTTCAACTCTGTCTGCAGAAAAGTTATTATTAAAGTTGCTATAGGTCACTGTTAGAGTTTATTGAAGGATACAAATGTGTTTTCATAATGTATTCTCATTTGCTGTGTTACAAAATGTGTTGATGGAGGAACAAAGCATAGTCTGTTTAAAATGACACACACACACACACACACAGATTCACATGACTGAGAGACACAAGATCCACACGAACAAATAAGGCGTTGGTCAAGAACACATGATTGTCTCATGTTACTGTATTGTTGAAATAAAAGGACTGCACTGAGAGGAGGCGAGTGGGAGTCGGTTAGAGAGTTGGCTCTCCTAGCAGAGTTGGCTCTCCTAGCTGAGAGTTGGTTAAGGAGTGGACATGGCATATGTCACTCGCCGATTCTCCTAGCTGGGAGTTGGTTTTGGAGTTGACATGACCTGTCACTCGCTGATTCTCCTTGCAGCAAGTAAACTGGAAACATGAGTCCTGTTATCTTTGTTCACTGGGTTCTGGTTATTGAACCGAGCTGGGGTTTACTCTTACAAAGTAATATATAGATACCTCACAGTCACATTTTGCTTTAACTTAAAGCTCCCCTATTATACTGTTTTTCATCAATATATTATAGCTCTCAGATATATACAAACATGTCTCTGAAGAGTTTGGCTCAAAACACCAAACTGATCATTGCAGCATTACCCATAATCCCCTCTGTTTCAGACCTGTTTCAAAAGTGCTGATTCTCTGTCTGTTACTTGATGAAAATAAGGAGCCCCTCCCCACGCCCCTCTGAGAGAGATTTGGTTAAAACAACACAATGGTGCTCTAGGAGGAGATTCAAGTGATAAGGTGGGGGGGGGTTACCTTGGTTGCTGATTGGCTAATGGTTACACAAGCCGAAAAATCGTTATGACATCATTAAGTGGCCAAAATCTGATCAGCTCATTTTCAGACAGGTTTTTATAGAAATGGATCAGGAGAAAAAGAGAGAGAATCTTTGTTCCTGAAACTTTCAGAGTCTCTTTACACAGAGGGGACACATGTTGATGTAGAAGAGAAATGAAGAAGAGGGACACATGTTGATGTAGAAGAGACATGAAGAAGAGGGGACACATGTTGATGTAGAAGAGACATGAAGAAGAGGGGACACATGTTGATGTAGAAGAGACATGAAGAAGAGGGGACACATGTTGATGTAGAAGAGACATGAAGAAGAGGGGACACATGTTGATGTAGAAGAGAAATGAAGAAGAGGGGACACATGTTGATGTAGAAGAGACATGAAGAAGAGGGGACACATGTTGATGTAGAAGAGACATGAAGAAGAGGGGACACATGTTGATGTAGAAGAGACATGAAGAAGAGGGGACACATGTTGATGAGAAGAGACATGAAGAAGAGGGGACACATGTTGATGTAGAAGAGACATGAAGAAGAGGGGACACATGTTGATGTAGAAGAGACATGAAGAAGAGGGGACACATGTTGATGTAGAAGAGACATGAAGAAGAGGGGACACATGTTGATGTAGAAGAGACATGAAGAAGAGGGGACACATGTTGATGTAGAAGAGACATGAAGAAGAGGGGACACATGTTGATGTAGAAGAGACATGAAGAAGAGGGGACACATGTTGATGTAGAAGAGACATGAACAAGTGGATTTTGCATAATAGGTCCCTTTAACATTACGAAGTAAAGGTTGATTGCCCAATGTAATGGCCATACAAATATGACACCATCTGTGTTTAAGTTTGTTCCCCATCGGCCTAGCTTTCACTGCTTTCAGCATCAACATCAGTCTGCCATCAGAGAGGAATTTGCTAAGATGCAACTCAACAAAATCGCTTACAAATCAAAACATTCTCTTATATTAGCTATGCCCAGGTAGCAGAACAACCACAGTAATGGTACAGTTGAAACTAAATGGCGAAAAAGCCCCAAATGACTGAGGAAGAAAGGTGAATTCAGAGAATGAAAAAAAAGCCATGCCTACTTATGAATACAACTGGGTGTTTTACTCTGACTTTATCGTAGCACTGAGATCAGGGCTTCTCGTTTTTTGGGATTCTTACTTGTTTCTTGTTTTTGAACAATATTGCTAACAAGGTTTTTTTTTTAATTAAATGAGAACACTCTACATTCAATAATAAATATGAAATGAGGATGCATTTGAGGCAGCTTTTGGTTATTTTTACTTTTTATAAACTGTAATTCTTACGTCCAAGCACTATCACCACCCAGTTCCCCCTGAGCGCTGAGCTGACAGCAGCCTGTTCACGGCTCTGTTATTTCAGCCTCAGTGTTTCCAAGTCACTGCTCCACGCTCACTATCTAAATCCCCTGTGGGACAGTAGCTGTTATTGTTACCTTTTCAGGACGTCCTCCTCCGCGTGCCGGCCTGCCGCCGCCGCCGCCACCCCCTCCAGCTCCACCTCCACTACCCCCGCCTCCTCCTCCTCCTCCTCCACCTCCACCTCCTCCACCTCCTCCTCCTCCTCCCCCACCACCACCTCCTCCTCCTCCTCCTCCTCCTCCTCCTCCCCCACGGCCTCCCCTGCCTCCACGAGCCCCGCCACGCCCGCGGCCGGGGCGGCCCAGGTCTCCAAAGTTGATCTCCAGCTGGGATGTGATGTCGTTGGCGGGCTTGCGGAAGTGGTGGTCACTGGACTCGTCGAGGGGGCCCTGCGGCTGGAGTCACATGAAGCACAGGTTAGAAATCACAGCCGTCAGTATAGGGATGCATACCGGTATCCGGTATTACCGAAATACCGGTTACTGGTGGCTACAGTATACCGTACCGAAATCAGATCCGGTTTCGATACTTTAAAAAAAAATAATATATATATATATATTTTTTAAATTTAATTTTAAAAGTGAGCCGTAATATCCTTAAACTCGGGCCCAAACCGTCAAATTACGATGTCAATTTCGACGTGAAACTCCACAAACGAGTCACTGTGGAGTGTGGGCTGCACCATATTGTTGACATCCGCCAGCCAATCAGATCGCGGGCCTTGCACCGGCTTCGGTGTATGTATTTTTCATTGTTTGTTCAATACTAGAAAGGTAAAAGTCCCACAAATGAACTGTGATGGGATTTGTTTTCTCTCACCAGTGAAGGTAAATGTTGATTTTAAAGATGAGATTTGTTTGTTTGTGCAATGCAGAGATCTCATGACCTTTATTCTATTATTTATTTGTTCTATAGTCGAATCTCAGGTTTAACATGAATTATAACGGTCTGTTTGCATTGACAAGATGTGCTATTCACGCGGCACACCTGATGGCGGGTGTTATAAAAGATATTCCATAATCGGTTTTCTTCATATTTGTTATGTATTTTTCATTGTTTGTTCAGAACTAAAAGGTCCAAGAAGCCCCACAATTTAATTTAATATTCATTTGACATGTTAACTATATCGTAAAGCGCTTCATGGGAGTAATTGTGGGATGATACATTTTCAAAGTATCACGATATGTATCGGTTGAGTATCGTGAAAAAGTCAACGATATGCATCCCTACGTCAGTACACACCGAGGAATGACATTAGTTTGTGTTCTCTGGCTTCAGTCAAAAGTCAAAGTCAACTTTATCGTCTATCTTCTGTGTGTGTGAGATTCAGACAGGGACATCGAAATGCTGTTTCTCACAATCCCGAGAAATATAAGTTAAAGTATCTAAAAATACCTACATAATCAAAACAGACACATATTTACAAATTCCCACATTAAGAGGCATCAATACAAAATATATATATAAAAAAGGCACAACAGTCAATATACAAAAATAACAGTCACTTATAAACGGATGAAGAGGAATTTATTACAGTAAAACTATGTACACTAGTGCCCATAGCAGCGTAGTTAAAGTACGCACCAACACTATATTTAGATTCTTGATTCATCTGGAGCCACCTTAATTAAAATTAGAGCTGCACAATTATTTTCTACATTTTATCGGAATCGCAATAGTCGTGCTGAAGGAGTCCTGAAAACCTGAAATTAGGAAGCATTTGACCAATTCCGGTCTAGAACTCAATCTTTTTTTGAAAGCGTTTTGGTGAGATGCTTTAAGTAAGGTCTGTGGTAAACACTACCTTAAGAGATTTTGCTCTACGACAGGGGTGGGGAACCTTTTTCCTCTCAAGGGCCATTTCAATTTTTTCAACATCCTCCGAGGGCCGTACAAATTATTGACCTCTGCTTAAAAATACTAAAATCACAGCCCATTCATTTGGCCTTTCTTTCATGCTGTGCAAAGAAAAAGCAACCTCTTAATCCAGATATCTTACCATGACTCGCTCATAGACACACAAGATGTGTGCAAATGGGTTTAGTTTCCTATCCATGTGGACATGATTTAAGTGGGGGGGGGACCTAACCTCCTCTAGGGGGGTCGGGGGGCATGCTCCCCCGGGAAGATTTGTTTTTATATGTTGAAGTTAAAAGCATCAATCTGGTGCACTTTTGATCTATGGATACATCTCTCAACACCCAGATGAAACAGAACTGTAAGCAGATTTATTTTTCTTTATGGGTATTTTACAAATCACTCTCCTTTCAAACTGTATTCTTGTTTATTAATAACAACTGTTTTTTACTGTCATATAGTATTTTATACCAGTTTACTTTATTCTCTTATTTGTTTTATAACTATAATGGTCATATAAAGATGTGCCTTTACCTCACTGGTTGAAGAAAAAGCTTCTTATATTCGTTAGCATAGCTAGCTAACCAGATGCTAATAACAACAAAGTTATTGACTGTATGATCAGTATGACAGATGAACAGATCGCCACTGGGCTTTCAACTAAAGACACAGCCACGTAAAAACTACGGCATGTGTACGGCTCCTTATCTGAAGTGCCGGAGCGACGTTCTGGTGGCGAGACATATACCACATGATGACACGTTATGCTCGTGTTGTGTTCAAGGACCCTGACCTTGGCCAGGAAAAACGGGCACTAGCTTGTTTAATTTTTCTGCGGTCTAGATTTATTTAATTGTTTTCTTTTTTTGCGTGTGTTTATAAATTACCTTGAGGGCCGTACCAAATGGTCTCGCGGGCCGTATACAGCCCGGGGGCCTGAGGTTCCCCACCCCTGCTCTACGATATAAAATACGTCAGTAGATAGTATACCCCACTGGTGAATGGCCGAAGCTTCTATGCGTCATAAAAACAGCTGTTGCTCAATTAGTTTTTTCCCAAAAGGTGCAGCCACACTATGCCATTAGAATATTTGGAGGTGCATTGGACCCCTCAGCTGTCTAACAGGTGGGTTTACACAGAGTGCTACACTGGTGTTTGATGGACTGTGTGGATGGAGGGCAGTGAGAGCTGCAGGCACCTTGGTGAACACGGGGGCGGGCTCCACTTCTGTCTCTGCAGCCTCGATCAAAGCCCCCACAGGCCTCTGGAACACAAAGACAACAAAGGAGCTTCATTAATATCATGTCAGATCGGCTGGAGGGACCGAAAGGCTGCAGGAGTCACCAGACCAGGTCTAACAGTGTCAATACATCTGTGAGCATCTTTATCTATTACAAAAGCTTCTGAATTAGCTGCCTTCAAACACACAATTATACAAAATAAATGGCTCAATTTACAGAAACTAAATCTATAAGTATGTTGCTTATGTATAAATAAGTAGGGCTGTCAAAGCTTGTGATTCATCTGGAAACGTGTTCAAAAGAAAATAAACGCAAAATCTTAACATCATAAATGTACGAATACAAGTAAATATTAGCATTTTAAAATGTGTGATTATCATAATTATTACACAATTAAGTGGTTTAAAAAGGACATCATATTCACATTTTCAGGTTCATATTTGTACTTTGTGTCTGTACTGAGACTCTTTATTTTTCTCATAGTGCTTAAGTTTCTAATGTAGGCTCATTCTATATCTCCTGTTGTTTTGTTTTTTTACATTCTAGACATTTAAAAAACCATTATGGTTCAAATGTAAAAGCACCAGTTACTGCTGACCGGTTTAACGTATAAAATAAAGTTCAAATGGTAAGTTTACACTCTGAAAAACAACATTTGAGACAGAAGAGACGTTAGAGGTCCCAGTGATGGAGCTGAAACATGAGAGAATGCACTCACGTCTTCACTCTTGGACTTGTGCAGCACGTATCCTTTCTTCCACTGGCTGTCGGCCCCCTCGTTGGGCTTCCGGATGTTGAACTCCACCTTGGTGCGCTCCTTGTCCTGCATGGCCTTCCACTCGTCCAGGGTCATCTCTTTTGGGCCTTCGTTCTTCACCTCTTCGACCTCGTTCTCCCTGGAAAGCCAACACACAACAATGTGGGGCGTTAGAGCTCAAACCTGACAATCCTCTTAGCTCTATACATGCTCTCTAATCCTGAGGCCAGGGGGTCAGAGACCACGGTGATCCCATTTGCACAAAAGCTTTGTGATGAGAATGCACATGCAGAGATACTGTCTGTGGCACAGAACAACTACTAGAATCAGAAGGAAAACACCTCAGTACGATGACATAACCAGGGCTCGAGCTTAAGGACGTCCCGTCGTCGAAAAGAATAGTGTCGGGGAGGATAACAAAAAAAATTTGGGACGAAATTGGGACGAGAGTTAAAATAAAAATACCCTGCTAACTCTACTACAAACGGCGATGAAAATGAAACCGACTGCACGTTTTGTGTAGCACACAGTTATTAAACCTCCTTGTCAACATAACCACACACGCACAAAACATTTAGCAACCCGCGAAATACACACACACACAGTAGGCTACGTAGCTACAGCTGTGCTTCTCGGGTCTAGCTATGTACTGAGTGTGTGTATTTCGCGGGTTGAGTGATGTACAATGGCATCCCGTGGAGGAATTCTGAAATGTTTTACCGTTACATCACAAAAACGCACAGCAGAACCAGACCCTGGAGCGCCGGCCTCTTTATTTACTTACTCCTCTTCATCCCCTATGGGTAATAAGGCTGAGATGAGAACCCTCCATCGTATTGAGTTCTTAGCAATATGCTGCCTCTCCCCATGTAGGGATGGGTACCGAGCCCCGGTATTAAACGGGCCCCGGGCCGGAATTAAAGACAGTGGTAACGTTAAGCTCCGACATTATCGGACTTTTTATCGGTACTGGAGACATTTAAAAAATATATGTCATATGTATTATTGCTACATACACATTATATCGCAGTTTTAGTTTCACCAACTCCGTTTCTAATATGCAATAAGACTACAACATGCGTCTATGATGTGTTTTCGAGCTTTCCAATCCAGACGAGATCTCTCTCTCCCGCCTGTGTGCGAGGGGGCGGGGCCGTTTGTAAAGGTCTCCTGACTGTGTTACAGACTGTCATCCTGGTTAGTGGTTACTCTGGGTTCTGTCTTCAGGACAGTGTTGGATTGTTTTGTTAATTGGATGGGACTTGATTGGATCAATATTAGAGTAACTTTCTCGTTTGTGTGTTTGTTTAAATATATTTGGCCTTTGTTTATGTGATTGAATGATTTACTCAAATAAAAAGGTTGATGAATTATCATCTAATGATTTGTATGATGTTTTATTTATGTTAAAGGTCACTTTGAATGATTTTAACTAATGATAATGTAGAAAAACTAACATTTTAAATTCGGGACGGTCCACATTAATTTCGGGACGGCTTAGATTGTATTTCGGGACGGTTCCGGGAGGATGGGGGAAAAAGTTAGTCGAGAGCCCTGGACATAACAGTGCCTTTAAACTGCTGTTTTATGGAGTCGTTAAACAGGGGAGATCCATTAGGTGAACATCAGACAGGTACTCACTTGTTCTCAGAGCCAGCAGGTGCGCTCTCCTCTCCCTCGGGGGTCGTCTCTGGAGCAGCAGTCGGTTCAGCCTCACTGGGAACACACACAGCCACTTTGTCAATAGTGATATACTGCCTGCAGCTCAGACATGATCTTTTACTAAAGTAGCTCACAAATGCACCTCTAGACTCTTTACTCTGAACTGCCTGGGGCTGCAAAGAGTTGGAACATTTCCAGGGCAAGTCAAGCTTGGGAATTTTGCACTCTAAAAATAGTTGAAAAAAGGAGCCCGATGTTCCTTTCCATGTTCATAATTTGTATTCTGTGTAGGGCTGAACGAGTAATCGATTTTAAATCGAAATTTGAAATGATGCGATTATCAAATCGGAACCAATCAGAAGTGGCCCATGATAGAAGGTGATAGACAGATTGATCCAATCACCTGCTGTGCTTTTGAAAGTGCCTGCCCTTTCCAAACGGCTTCCAATGGAGCTTTAGATGGTTTGGTGAAACCAACCATCTGAGTCAGGTTAGTAATGCTCCATCACATGTTTCTATTACAGGGTGAATCTTAAACTGAAGCTTGACTTTAAAGCAACCCAACGGAAGTTTCATGTAAGTTTAGTTCTTTCACTCGTAGCTCGGGCTGCGGGGCTGCTAGAGACGGGAGCACGTTGATACGACCTTCCTAGCCGGAGTTATGGCCGCATTTTACAATAAACTTCCGTTGGGTCGCTTAAAAACAAATATCGCAAATTGAATCGCAATCGCTGTCAGAAAAATCGCAATTAGATTATTTCCCCAAATCGTGCAGCCCTAATTGTGTGTCTCTACTGTGACATGTCTCCATGCTTTAAATCTTCAAAAAGCTCTTTATCTTTCTCATCCTGCCTGTGCTGCAGCACCTCTTTTCACCCTCTGTCTGAAACCAGAGCCCAGTCTGCTCTGATTGGTTAGCTGGCCGGCTCCGTTGTGATTGGTCAACCCCTTAGAGATGTCCCGCCCCTTAGCCATCATGTACAATGTGTTGAATCGCTAGCCAAAAGTAGTGTGAGAATTACGTAGTGATGTCACTATGTTACGGAAGTAAAACATGAACTTATTTCAAAGGTGATATTAGTTCTTATTTCATGTTTTGGTCAAAGCATGCATTAAGTTATATGTTACTTACTTTTATCCAAAGCAACTTGCATATGCTTCAATACTGTAGATATGACTACAGGAGCAGTTTGGGGGTCGATATCTGACCCAAAGACACTTCAACATGTTGAACCTCTGATTGGTAGATCAGTACATTAACTCCCTGAGCCGTATAATCCCATTAAATGGCACATGCTCCCATCACTCCTGCCAACACTACTAACAAGAGCCACAACACTAAATGCTTTCCGATGAGTTTTGATCGCAAAGCTGGAGTGAATATCTTTTTAATATTTAATGTTATTCAGTCTGCATTCAAAAGTAGCCTAAAGCAAAGTACACCGTTTATAACCTGTTTACACCTTCTGCTAGTTTATCAAGCAAGCTGTTACTACGAGGGATGTAACCAACCGAGGAGTTTCAAACATTTCCCATCATTATTTATTGTTAAAGTTGTTCACTTTTAAACTTTAAGTTTAAGCATGGCCCCAGGTTTTGTAAGCTTACATTTTCAAATAACTTTTTACAATTAGTTAAACTTTAAAAGACAACTTTTCAACAACAAGGGGCTAATGGGGAACCAATCTAAACCCTTATAGTGTTATTATTACTCAGCCATAACATTGAGTTCATAATGACAGAGCAATACATGTGTCTATGGCTACTTTAGCTTGCTAAATGGCTAACTCACCACACAGCACATTAATAATGTTTTCATGAAGCTCGTCACATTATATAAATACAGCCCGAGCAGATAACCCTTTTATTTTCCATGGAAAGTTCCCACCTTGGATATTTCCATTGCAACCCTAGTGATGAACATATTTGATCAAATTGTATTAAACACTTACAATAGTTACTGAAGTTAAAACTCATTGTGAACTTTATAGAATGATCACATATGCATTGACCCAAAAGTAAATAATGCACCCGTTAAAACTGGATTATTTGAAACGCACAGCAAGCATCATATGAACTCATATCCCCTGTGCATTATCACGCTGCAGACAGAACAGACAAGCAGGCCGTGTGTCCGTTCTTTAACCTCACCTCGGTTCATCCTTCACGGCGCCCCAGTTGTGCGAGCCGCTGCGCTTCTCCTCGATTTTCTGATTGCTGGAGCAAACGGAGAGAAAACACACACTGATTTATGCTGCCTAAAAATACACTCAGCCCACAATGAACAGTCAATTCTACCAGCAACAACAACCCTTGACCTCAATTTGGTTTTCAAAGGAAGCTTAACGGAGCGGGGTGTCTGCATTAGAAAATAATTGGTTCCTGGAAGATTTTAATAATCTGACACATGGTGAATATTCTGCTCAAATATGATGTGTGTTTATTGACCTAAACCAACTGATCAGCAGGCATAGGAAGAATGACATCATCGTTCTTTTATCACAATGCAAGTGGTAGGTTTGCGCCACTGAGATCTGCTCTACAAACAATCCAGTCTTTCGTTTATATGAACACAAATAATAATTATTGACTGCAAATATTGGCAGTCTGGTTTTTCTCCCTACATTTATCTTACCAGTACCAGCTGGCAGTTGCTAAGAAACTTTATCCCTTGCGAATCCAATTGCAGTCCAACCCATGTTACACAAACTCTGTGAAAAAGTTTCACAGCGCTGTACTCGGTCCAAAAACAGAACAAACAATCCCACACAATCCCAAGACAAAAGCTCACCGTCTGTGACTCACACAACCCAATGCTGTGTGTTTGTGAAGTAGAAATATATAATCTTCAGCACATCCCCTCTGCATCAGATTTTTTATGTATACCAAAGCGGACATTATGAGCGGAGGGATATAAATATGTGTGCATTTAACAGATTTTCTGGGTAAAAAATAGCCAGTAATTATCGGATAACGGAAACCCTGTAACTGTGATGTCATTAAAGAACGTTTTGTCAAGATGCCATTTGGATTGGACAGTTCAATGCATATCCAATATAAAGTACATGTACCTTATTGAGTAGGATACAACTGCCAATAGACTATGGAGTGGTGCAGAAATGAGCCCTAAAACCCAGGAATGAGTTCACATTTGACCACTTCCTGTCCACTCGTCTTAAAATCTATGTTTCTTTTAACATGTTTTTGGTTAGAGACCTGGATTAAAGGTTCCCTATTATACTGTTTTTCATCAATATATTATAGCTCTCAGATATATACAAACATGTCTCTGAAGTTTTTGGCTCAAAACACCAAACAGATCATTGCAGCATTACCCATAATCCCCTCTGTTTCAGCCCTGTTTCCAAAGTGCTGATTCTCTGTCTGTTACTTGATGAAAATAAGGAGCCCCTCCCCACGCCCCTCTGAGAGACATTTGGTTACAAAGAACACAACGGTGCTCTAGGAGGAGATTCAGGTGATAAGGGGGGGGGGGGTAACCTTGGTTGCTGATTGGCTAATGGTTACACAAGCCAAAACATCGTTATGACATCATAAAGTGGCCAAAATCTGATCAGCTCATTTTCAGACAGGTTTTTATAGAAATAGATCAGGACAGAAAGTGAGAGAATCTTTTTTCCTGAAACTTGCAGTCTCTTTACGCAGAGGGGACACATGTTGATGTAGAAGAGACATGAAGAAGAGGGGACACATGTTGATGTAGAAGAGACATGAAGAAGAGGGGACACATGTTGATGTAGAAGAGACATGAAGAAGAGGGGACACATGTTGATGTAGAAGAGACATGAAGAAGAGGGGACACATGTTGATGTAGAAGAGACATGAAGAAGAGGGGACACATGTTGATGTAGAAGAGACATGAAGAAGAGGGGACACATGTTGATGTAGAAGAGACATGAAGAAGAGGGGACACATGTTGATGTAGAAGAGACATGAAGAAGAGGGGACACATGTTGATGTAGAAGAGACATGAAGAAGAGGGGACACATGTTGATGTAGAAGAGACATGAAGAAGAGGGGACACATGTTGATGTAGAAGAGACATGAAGAAGTGGATTTTGCATAATAGGTGACCTTTGAAAGGTGGGGTAGGTAATTTTGGAGAACCCAGCTCGAGTGCGCTAGAATTTGAAAATTCACAGCCGGAAAAAATCTGCCACTTCCTCACAGAGCCCCTCCTCCAACACACACGAACGCGCACATGACCAATGAGGGCACGAGATAAGTTTGTGCACAGATGGAAGGCTGACAGGCAGGTAGGCCATCCAGTTATTTTAGCCGGGCCGGCTAAAATTATTGGTCGTGCTTTTTACAGTACTTCCACAGAAGACATTTTTTTAATGTATTTATTGTCAAAGCATTTAAGATATTCATTGCTATCGGGATGTTAAGAGCATTCCATGGAATATAACAAAAAGTGTTTCTGAGGTGAATTACCTACCCCACCTTTAAGGTCTGTGTTTAACACAGGTTGAAGACATTTTTAAATGTTGTGCTAACAAGTTGCTAAATAAGACTAAAGTCATAACACAGAACAGAACCGCCTTTAGCTTAGCGGTGGCAAATGATATGAAGTCATGTAGATGTGATGTAGTTTGTTTATAGGTTAGCTTTTTACTTCTGCAGATTGCTTTTACCATAGGTGCAATAATCATAAACGTATGTTTGCCACAGTTTTTGCAGAATTACAAAATCTGATGCAAAAATCACATTGTTTTTTGACGAGGGACCACCTAATACGATAACTTCCAGGTCGGACTACAACATCCTGACATCACCACTTATTTATGTGCCACTTGGTCCTGGCAACATTTGGATGTTAAAGAGCTCAAAAGCAACCTCTTGATAATAAAGATTCAAGAATGGGATGCTTTTGTAAGTAGTCATTTCTATTTATACATCCACTGGTCTGCTAAGGTCTCAGTTGAGGGCTGACTCACGATTTGTCATTGCCGCTGTGTCTGTCGAAGTCTCGTTTGCCACGGGAGTCGAAGCCCTCTCCCCGGCCCATGCCCCGTCCTCTTCCACCGCGCCCACCCCGTCCGCCACCACGCCCTCTGGGGGGCCTGTCTCCAGAAGGCCTAATGGACACAAACATAAAAATAAACCGTATCAGTCGTGATCAACACTTAAGCTCATGTGACAGAGATGCCTATCTGCTCTTAATGCCTGGGACAGTACAACGCTTCACATAAATTACAGACGGCAGTGATGTTGAGGTTAAGTGAGCTCAGATTATATCAAACACTTAATCCATGCATACACCCCCACATGGTCGTGTGACCGAGGCAGACAGCCTTGAGTTTATCAGCCTGTCTATATGTGCACTTGGTTATTCATCACAGCTACCCACTTGTCCACGGAGAACTCTCCACCTCCCTCAGGCTTGTCCTCAGTCGGCTTCTCAAAGCGCCGCTCGCGAGGAGGTCTCCGGTCCGGCCTCTTGTCTCCAGGTCGCCCTTCACCCTGCCCCCCCTGGTTCTGGGAGCCAGGCTGGCCCTGCTGGTCTGGTCTTCGGCCCACTCGCCTGATACCTTATGATCAGGAGCATAGAGTCAAACCTTCAGAAGGCAGTGATTTATAACTCTTTATTGTAGTTATTTGTGCCGGTGACGGTCAGCACTTGCTGTTTTTTAGAAAATGCTTTATTGGGCAAGAAAAAGTGGGTAAATTAAGTATGTTTTTTTAAGTAAGCCAAAAATATAATAGCCAAAACAGGATGAGGTTAATATGAATATTGAAAATGTATTATGCAAAGAATAGGGCTGCAATTCATGTATTTCACTTTCATCGCAATGTCAAATGGTGGCATAAACACAACACAAAAGACTGCATCTTTTCAATAACAACTGCAGTTAAAATCTTTTTATGTTGTTTATTTTGTGTTGAGTTCAATTTTTTTTGATAGATTCAATAAAAGAATGTCCTTTTATTTTTACAACAACAAGCAATTTGTATCATTTTAGTAGCAATCACAAGTAAGTACACTTTAATATATATATATATATATATATATTATTTGGTTAATTTTTTATTGCAATATTTTGCATATTGTTATATTATTTTCCTCATATTGTCTGCCCAAATGCAGACATTATAAATGTATACATAAATAATATATCAAACAACCAGTGGCGTAACAAGGTTGTGATTGGCCCCGGTGCAAATATTGTTTTGGGCCAACACCCATATGAAACAGAACTGTAAACAGATTTACTTTTTCTTTATGGATATTTTACTAATCACTCCTTTTAAACTGTATTCTTGTTTTACTGCCATATAGTATTTCATAACTGTTTTTCATTTATTCTCTTATTGTTTTATGCAGTGCTTCTCAAAGTGTGGTCCGCGGACCACTGGTGGTCCGTGAGTGCCCCCTAGTGGTCCGTGAGTATATTGGTCACATTTCACATTTTAAGTAAATAAATAAATGTAAGCTATCCGCACTCTCGCGGGAATATCTCTGCAATGGAGCGAGCTTAACTTTCGATTGCATGATATAGCCCAGTGCAACACCTTCATCAAACATGTTGCCACTTGTTTGTACCATTTTCAGGCGATTTGTAATCTGTTCTAGAAAAACGATGTGATTTTGGATATTTGTGGAGTTAGGTGGTCCGCGAGTGTTTTTTTTATTGGTTAAGTGGTCCTTGGTATGAAAAAGTTTGAGAAACACTGTTTTATAGCCTAACTATAATGATCATATGAAGGTGTGCCTCGGAAATACTTGTTTACATAAATCGTGACCAAACCGTTTGAGACCCACTGAGATAACTTAGACTAAAGTTAACTATCTAAACACTCAGAGAGTCCTTTAGCTCACTTGAGTCCCTCAGTCTGACAGGAGAGGACATTCCCTTCACCTTGTTGTAGAAACAGCTCTTTATATCTGTTAGTGCAGCTAGCTAAACAGATGCTAACAACACGGTCCCTGGCACCGGTGCGCTCTCTCTCTTGCTTAATCACACTAAATGCGCGCCTGCCACACACACAGCCCAGCTTGAATGAAACACAGAGACCTAGAAGTACTTGTTCTGTACTGTGGCATATTATTTTCGAATAAATAATTTTTCAAATTATGACATACATTTCTTGGGGGTGCTTGGGGGTGCTAAAGCTCCCCCTAGCGCCCCCCTGGCGCCGCCTATGACGGACATACACAACCACTCAGAAGCGCCACATGTAGGCTATCAACAACAGCCTGCCTTGGCCTCAAACCACCACAGCCTGACAACGACACAGCGAACTAAGAAGAGGATTACACCGGTTTCCTTCATGTTTGTCTCTGGGGAATGGGCCGGTAGGCCTACATGGACCGGTTGCTATAATATAGCTTTTGATCTTGGCGTCGGGGGTCTCAATAGCGCCATAGAGTCCCCTATCGGTTGGGGCCCTTGGGGGAACTGTTGGACCACTGCCGGGCACAGGCAAATCCAGCCTCTCTTCCTGGCTGTCAACATTGCTAACGCTAGCGCTCGATTTCGAGGACGATGTATGACAAAAAAATCTATTTCTAATTTCGGCAGTTTAGCTGTTACATCTCCTTGTTCTCTCTTGTCCTTTCTCTTTTGAGCGCCGCTCGTGCTTTGGTTTGCTTTACATTATAAATGCAAGCTATTACATTTTTTATAATGCTGCCGAAATTGCTGCTGCTAGCTACAGTACATTACAGGTTGATTAAACGGTTCGCTCGTCACGCAACGTATCACATGACATGAAAGGGAGCTAGGTCATTGGACAGACAAATTACAAATTAATTTAGGTTGCTTGGTTACTTTAAAGACTTCGTGAACCGGTCAATGCCATAGAGAGGCGAAGTCCCTCCCTTTCCGGGGGACCTCCATGGGACCTTATTTCGGAAAAAGTATGTATTGAAGTCAATGGCAAGAGAAAGATTATATTTCGATCCCGTTTGAATTGTGCCACGAATTACACATATGATGTTTATCAATTTAAAAGATAATTTTGCAAGTCAATTTTTTTTTAAAGTGTAGTAAAACTGTGAAGTAACACTTTTTTTTGTGTGAAACTGCTCAATGAACTACATCTCCCATCTCGCACCACACACCAAGACGGCCGTCACGTTTGCACATTTCACTTCTTTCTTTCAGAATGAGGCGGAAAGTATTAAAAGAGGTGAAAATTACTACAAGTCTGGGCATGTTGAGAGCTGTACATACACACAAGGGGAGTTAGTCGGTTCCGTAAGAGTCAGCTAAACCAGCATAGCCCAGCATGGATGTCATGCTGGTCTATGCTGGTTTTAGCTGGTCTATGCTGGTGAAGCTGGTTATGCTGGTCTACCAGCAGTCTTGCTGGCGAAACTGAAACAGACACAGACAGACAGAGAGGGCGGGACACGGGGGAACGGCGAGACGGCAGTGGTTGAAAGAAAGCGGTATGTTTTGACTGGCACTAGGTCTAGGTCAGGGGTCGGCAACCCGCATGCTTAAAGGGCCGCATGCGGCCCTTTAAGCCCTCTGCTCTGGCTCCCTTGAGCTTAGACAAAAATAAGAAGGAAATAAAATAAAAGTATTTGTAGGACTATTTATATTTTATTGCATGGTTGAAAATGTTTCGTATCTTGTATTTTGAGGTGATACTGTGACACAAATAAAAAACAAAACGGTTTTAATTAGGTCAACTAAAATATGCGTCACATCCTGCTACGGTCCCGCGCGAGCGCCTTTTCTTGGAGGCGAATAACCTGACCCCCGGCTCGATGAGCGAACTATGGATAAATCAAAGAAAAGTACCGGAGGAACACAGGATTTAATTCTGTGTGGACAGAGTTATATGCTTTCACAGCAAACGATGCTGGTTTACCGGTATGTTTGATATGTAGAGAGAAGTTGTCAACGGTGGTGCAGCCTTTACGTATCGAGGAACAACAAGGGAGAGGAAGACAGCTGACGATCTTCAGTCATAATTCAATGGGGTATGTAATTTATTTCAGAAAACACTTTTTGTTATATTCCATGGAATGCTCTTAACGTCCCGATAGCAATGAATATATTAAATGCTTTGACAATAAATACATACAAAAATTAATCTCTGGAAGCCGTGGTGCTGTAAAAAGCACGACCAATCATCTGAGCCGGCTAAAATAACTAGATGGCCTACCTGCCGGTCAGCCTTCCATCTGTGCACAAACTTATCTCGTGCCCTCATTGGTCATGTGCGCGTCCGTGTGTGTTGGAGGAGAAAAGTAAGAAAGTCTGAAGGAAGAGGCATATTTTTTCCGGTTGAGTACTTTCAAATTCTAGCGCACTCGAGCTGGTTTCTCCATTCTTACCTACCCTACCTTTAACTCTTTTTAGGGTGCAGCTATATGTTTTATTTATTTCAAAGTGGGCCCATTTTAATAATATTTGTTTTCCCTTCAAATGTGCAGAGGACTCCCCAAGTGCTGTGTTTAATTTATTTTAAAGTAGGCCTGTGTATTATTTGTAATTCTTCTTATAAGAGTTCTTTGTTTCTTATTAGAGGTTAACAGTTTTATATCATGTAATAAATAGCCTAATAAATGCAAAAAAACTGTAGTTTTTGTCTGATATAACAATAAAAAACTATGAAATATGTTTTGCGGCTCCAGACAAAAAATGTTTGGGGAAAAAGGAGCAACATGGCTCTTTTGGTCAAAAAGGTTGCAGACCCTTGGTCTAGGTCAGTGTTTCTCAAACTTTTTCATACCAAGGACCAATAAACCAATAAAAAAACACTCGCGGACCACCTAACTCCACAAATATCCCAAAACACATCGTTTTTTACAAATCGCCTGAAAATGGTACAAACAAGTGGCAACATGTGTGACGAAGGTGTTGCGCTGGGCTATATCATGCAATTGAAAGTTAAACTTAAGCTCGCTCCATTGCGAAGATATTCCCGCGAGAGTGCGGAAAACTTAAATGTATTTATTTAAAATGTGAAATGTTACCAATATACTCACGGACCACTAGGGGGCGCTCACGGACCACCAGTTGTCCGCGGACCACACATTGAGAAGCACTGGTCTAGGTGAAGATCAGTTGAACGTTTCTGTGACTCCGCCCAGCTGCTGCTCTTCTGAGAGGCACAGCTCTGTCTACTGGGAAACGCGCTAAAAGTCCTTCTGGAGGTAAGCACACTACACAATTTCACCAAGTCTGAGAGTAAAAGCTTTCTCGAAGGTTCGTTTTGCTTTCTTACAACGTTACGTTAATGTTAACTTTTAACCTTACGTTTGCTAGAAGGCTAGCTGTCTTAGCTAACAGCAGTTAGCAGCTAACGTTTTCTGCAGTTTGTGTTTCCCCTGAAAAACGTGATGCAGTTATAAGTTGTAAGTTAACTTGACGTTATCTTACAAGTTGAGAGAGTTACGTTTTGTTTAAAATCGTCAATGTAATGCCATTAGAGGTGTTGTGTTGAACATGAAGTTAGCTAACTGTAGCTCTCTACCAAAGGTTAGCATGTTAAGCTGTACTTTCTGTGGCAGCTAGCTTAATACAAAGAGGGTTTTTGTGCTTCATTGTAAACTTTTCTTACAAATGTGTGTTAATCTACCTGAAATTGTGGGGACAGTTGTTTTCTACTCAATGATACAGACCATTGTTGAGGAGATGCAAAACATACATATACTTTGAGTAATGTTACTTTGCTGCTAAAAAATGAAACATTATCAGATGAGGACATCACCAAAGTGTGTGAGTCTGTCGGGATTTGATCTGTTCTTTGCATGTCTACAGGGCCTATGTACACACTGCTCTGGTATTAATAAAAAATATAATTGTAAAATGTAAGTCTCGCTCTTGTCATCGTTCATTGCATTTGAACCCCTATGACTGGTTGCAGACTTGAAGGGAACGACTTCCTGGCCTTCCTCACATCCAGGAAAAAGGTGAGATTCTAATCTATTTCTTATCTTTCTTTCAGGTGTAACATCTACCAATGGTTGTACATGACACCACCTCTTTGCTGTCCTACTAGTCAACCCTCCTGATCAGAGCCTTTCCTAAATAGTGGTAAGTTGTTTTACAGTTCAGTGTACGTTAATTTAGCAACTTAATGCTTTACTGCTGTTGAATAAACCCTATATATATATATATATACAGCAGGACACCGCTCCACTGTTCTGTTTTATTGTTGGTTGTAACCACTGTGTTGGATAAAATAAATGATTGTTTTGGGCAACTCCGGTGTGGAACTGTTGTCCTTATGTTGCAAGCAGAGCCAGCTTGTAACATATGGGGGCTCGTCCGATCCAAGAACCAGGTGATAGTTGTTTACTTGATTTGTTTGCCTTGATTGTGTAGACAGTTTGTTCCTGGTGTGGGGCATTAAGGAGTAGCTTTGGAATTACCTTTCCTGATAGGCATAAGCAACATCTCCTTCAGGGGAGCTTGTTGGTTTGTTATTTTTGTTTGTTATTTTTGTGCATAAACATGATTTGACATTTTTTTGTCATGGGTACACGTCCGTGGCTGTCTTGGTGAGTAACAGCTTCGCTGGGGCTTTACCGGGTCATTGGGTAAGTGTTTAAAACACCTGTCGTGGCATGCATGAAGACTAGGGCGAGACAAGATAGCTAGTATTGGGTAGGCAGTTAGCTAGGGGAGAGGTATTCCAGAGTGAAACAAAAATATTATATATATATTTGTAGGTGTCTGTACACCAGGTTCAAGGGAGTTTGCATAATCATGGCTACATTGACAGATTTTGTGAAGTGTCCCAGTGTGGAACTACTGGAAAAATGTACTAAAGACCAACTGTTAAAAATTGCAGAGCATTTTGAGGTAGACGTTCCAAAGCAGGGTCGTAAAGACACCATAGTGACTATGTTACAGGCCCAGTTGGTACTGCAAGAAGTTCTGCCAGCAGTGGCTGGCGATGATGGTTCCGAGGAGGAGTTGGCTGAGAAGGCAGCTATAAATCCAGAGCGGCAGAGAAGTGCAGGTTTTTCTTTGTTTGACTTTGGTGAAATGACATTTGAACAGAGAAAGGAAATAATGCTGCTGCAGTACCAACAAGACAGTGAACGTGAGGAACGAGTAAGTGCTCGTGAGGACCGGGCTAGAGCTCGTGAACAGGAAACTGAGATGGAGCGTTTAAGGTTAACTACAGTGGTGCGGGAAGCTGAATTGCAACAAGAGCGTTACAAGTTGGACCTCATCCAAGAGGGTAAGCTTTCTTCTGGGGTGTCCCCAGCTACTTTTGATGTAGCTTATAACTTGAGGTTGTTACCGAAGTTTGAGGAGAAGACTGTAGATTCTTTTTTTGGACTTTTTGAGCAACTTAGCCAAAGATGACAGTGGTCTGATTCAGAGAAAACATTGCTGTTACAGTGTGTGTTAACTGGTAGGGCTCAAGAAGCATTTTCTGCATTAAGTATGGCTGACAGTGAAGATTACTTAAGGGTAAAGACTGCAGTGCTAAAAGCTTATGAGCTGGTGCCTGAGGCCTACCGTCAGCAGTTCAGGAAGCTAAGGAAGTCAGAAGGACAGACCTATGTGGAACTTGTTCGGGAGCTGACGATGAAATTTAAATCGGTGGGTCACGGCTTCCGAAGTAGTAAATCTTAATGATTTGAGGGAACTGTTCCTTCTTGAACAATTAAAAGATATTCTTCCAGAACGCGTTGCAACGTACCTGAATGAGAATAAGGTTAAAAATGTAACAGACGCCGGGGTATTAGCTGATGAATACACTAGTGCTGTAGCGACGCGTCGACTTTGTCGACTTCAAAATATCGTCGACGACATATTTCCGCGTCGACGCGTCGCTACACATACGTGGGTCACCCAAAGCAACAAGCAGTTCGCAATCGCACTTCAAACACAATGGAGACTGAAACGGCTACCACCTCCTCCTCACAGGATTGCGCACGAAGCCCCCAAACGAAAACATCTCGCCCTAGGTCTTCAAAAGCATGGGAATATTTTAAAGTTAGTCCAAAACGCAAAGATATTTATATATGTATATCTCACTGAGACTGCTGCATAGCCTAGCAGAAGCAGCAGCTAGCTGTGGTGGCTACCATTAGCAGCTAGCATTTGCTCTCCGATTTTTACATAAAATGGAATTATGGATTATAAATTCAATCATTTTTTTATACATAGACGTTAAAAACCTATGGATTAACCGATTCAGACGCGTTTTTTCTCATTTTATTTCCATTGAACCATAGCATTGAACACGTCTTTTGATCAGATTGACAGCTACGGTGGTGAGACGATCTCCCTAGAAGCTCTGTGAAGGTACGTGTTGTGATGACTGTATTTGCTTCCCCTGTCGCGAGTCCGGATCACTCAGTGATGATACTATATACCTACATAATCTGTGGAGTCTCAGCTTTAATCGGATATATTGTATGTGCAGCTACGATAAGTAATAAGGGTACTTTTATCTTGAGTTCTGTGCCAATGTCCGTTAGCATTTTTCGCTCAGGGGTCATTTAGATGCTTCTTATGAGACTTGTGTTTTGTTTTGGTAAACATGGTTTGTATCGTCAGTTAGCTGAGATTATTTCCGTTAATCTGGTATAACACATTAATAGGTTCTTAAATATTAAGATCCCCTGAGACACAGTATCGTGAAACAAAACATTTTTACATTACGTTTTTTTTACATTACGTTTTTTATGAATTGAACAACAGAAAAATAATCGTTCGATTAGTCGACTAATCGATCAAATAATCGCCCGATTAATCGTTTTCAAAATAATCGTTTCCCCCCAGCACTAGTTAACACACAAGATTCATTCAGGGGAGAGATTTGACTGGGGGAGCAGAAATAACTGGTCTGGTGACCCCAGATGTAAAGTAGATCTAAGTACTTGCTACTTTTGTTTGGGTAAAGGACACCAGAAAAAGGAATGCCCAGTACTTGCAAAAACCAAGGGACTCCAAAATGTTCAGTTTCCCAGGCCTGTTGCCCTTGCAGCTTCTCCCCACAAGGTTGCTAGGGATGAGGCTATGGCTGCGGTTAAACTCTATACTACCCCGCAACCAGTTGCTGCTGCGGTTTCTAACTACGGACCAGCCCTGCAAGAGGTGAAACCTCGCCCCTCCCAGTTGGCAGATTAAATTGATCCAGGGTATGCCCCTTTTATACGAGAGGGTTATGTGTCTTTGCAAGGAAGTGAAAAAAAATTCCTTGTTAAGATACTGAGAGACACAGGTGCTATCGATTCATACATAACTGAGGGTGTTCTTCCATTTTCCTCGGTAACTGACACTGGAAGTGGTGTATTGTTCAAGGGAATGGGGATGCAGTTGTTGTCTGCTCCAAAGCATCGGTTGGTGTTGTCCTGTGATTTACGGCAGGGTGAGGTTGCCATGGGAGTCCGGCCATCTTTGCCTGTTCCGGGAGTGGCAGTCATCCTCGGAAATGAATTGGCAAAGCAGGAGGATCCAACTTTGCAGGAGCTTTTGTCCCTGTGGTTGTCCACCAGTTGGTGCTGCTGTAACCTGTGTTTCTTGTAATCAGCAGTGATGGGACCTACCTGTGGCACTTGATTCCAGGATATAAGAGGGCTGCAGAACAGGCTCCTCTGTTCCGTTTTATTGTTGGTTGTAACCACTGTGTTGGATAAAATAAATGATTGTTTTGGGCAACTCCGGTGTGGAACTGTTGTCCTTATGTTGCAAGCAGAGCCAGCTTGTAACAATATATACATCCATCATCAATCAATAAAACAAATCATCCAACACTAAATAGAAGAAATCTGGACCTATTTATTTTTATACCACAGCATCTATTGGGACTGCTCATTGATGTCATCAAGAGCCATTGAGTCTACCTTTTGTAGTCGGCCTCTCAGAATGTTTAGCATTTCTTTGTCTCTTAACATTCCTATAATCATTTGTTTTTTTATTGTTGATATTGTTTTGTTCTTTATTTTTGTTGTGAGAATCACTTTGCAATTGTGTAAGTGAATAAATAGTTATACTAATATTATTGTTGTTACCATCATTACTATTATTAATAATGTCTTCTTTGTTTTCTTTATTTATCGCTGCAGAAAGGGTCAAAAAGTTTCCTGTACATGGTACCATGCCTGTCCTCTGTTCCACATGTCTTCAGTCCGTTCTGGACCCATGACTCGGACACTAGTTCTACCAAGGCTCATTAGAGGTAAGCAGTGGTAGCAGAGTGGAGTTATCTTTGTATTTAGGCTGCAAGTCAACAAGAATAGATTACAAATCGCTTAAAAAATGGTTCAGATAAGAGGCACCATGTGTTACGCAGGTGTGGCGTTGATATAGTTTATATAATATGCGGTTGAACTTTCAAATGAAATTATTTCCGGTGCAGAGACAAACACTCGAGGTGGATGTAGTACATACTGGTGTTAATAAAATATAGCGTGTATCCCTCAATTTATCGACAATAAGAATGACAATACATACTTCCGGGTGTAAAGTAATATATCTATCATGTAGATCCTACACATCCACTGGAGATAGATTCTGAAAGTAAAATATACACTTCTCACTAGAAATGTGATCATAAAGCATTATTATGGCCAAACTATCCTACAATTTAGGATTTTACACTGAAAAAAGTGTTGGATTCAAGATTCAAAGGTTTTATTCTTATATGCTCAGCAGCTACAGTGTAGAAATGTCAATGAAATTCTTCTGACCTGAGCTCCTCCAACAATGCAACATATATAATAAAATACAAAATAAAAAGTAGTGCAAAAAGTGTATACATGTAATATAATTCAAAACTAAATTTGATAAATTTTTCTTTTTCACAGTGCACATATTTAAGTAATCATAACACAAAGCTTAAAGTTAATCTGTTTTTTCTTTCTCTTTTGAAGAGTGCTTCAGAGGATGGCTGAATTAACAAAACGTGGAGAAGACCGAGAGGGAGAAGTTGGCCGGTTACTACATTTCACAAAAAATACAGGACCTTGTGAAAAACTGAAAGAAACAATTGAAGGAAACTGCTTAAAAATATGAAGTAATGGGTGCTTTGAAAATATTTTCAAATGTGTGTTAATGTTCATTGTGTTATAAATTATTTTACTGCTTCTAATCATTTGATTTATGAGTATGTATTTACATACATTCTGGTACCTTTCTGGTAAGGTAGGTGCTCTGATCTGAAATGATAGATGTTCATTGAGCTACTGCAATTGGGTGAGAGTGTTTCATCATCATATCTGACCAGCTTAACCATCAAGTAATACCAGTTAAAATTCTACTCGAGATCATACCAGTTTGACCAGCAAATGGTGACCAGCTAGAACACTGTGACCACCAGCTTTTACCAGCTAAACCAGCTATCCCGACCAGCTAATGGTAACCAGCTAGACCACTGTGACCAAACCAGCTATTCTGACCAGCTAGACCACTGTGACCACCAGCTTTTACCAGCTAAACCGACCAGCTAATGGTGACTAGCTAGACCACTGTGACCACCAGCTTTTACCAGCTAAACCGACCAGCTAATGGTGACCAGCTAGACCACTGTGACCAAACCAGCTATCCTGACCAGTGTCCAAAACCCCTCTTAACCAGCTAACTAATCCAGCCTAATATTGACTGGCTAACCAGCCTGACCAGCCTTGTTGGTCTTAGCTGGTTTTTTCAGCAGGGAGCTGTGACTTTTTTTTTTACATGGAAATTATTTTTTAAGATTGACAAACATCATGTGTAATTCGTGGCACAATTCAAACGGGATCGAAAGATAAGTGTTCTCTCTCCATTGACTTCAATACTTTTTCCGAAATAAAGGACTTCAACTCTCTATTGGGCCCCCCCCAAAAAAAAAAAAAAAAAAAAAAAAAAAAAAAAGTATACGGTGCAGCTGGTGCAACTGCAAACAACACCACAACGGAGTGTTTAGCCAGTACGAAAATAGTGCTGAGTGCAAAAGGCGCTGAAAATATATATGGAATTATTATGTTGCTTTATATAAATGAGGTATTTCAAGTGGCAGTAAGCACAGTTTATATAATATCATTCTTATATTCCTAATGGCAGTGATATTTAAACGTTACAAATAATGTTTTAACCGATGTACGTGCAGGAAAGATCAATATGTCACGCAAAGCTCCCACTGTCTCCATCCAGCAGCTTAAACAACAGCTCTCACTGCACACTAATAACAACACAGGCTAACAGGGGGCCTTCTTCATTACCTCGGTTTGTTAAATCTATTTTAGAGGACTAAACTTAAACAAAATCTAAATTCACTGTTGTAAATTTTTTTGACAGATGCAAACAAAGAGCCGTCTGTCTGGTTTCTCTGCGCAGGTGAATGTCCCGCTGCCTGCAGCCGCTAACGGAGCTGCGTAGTGCCCATCCTCCAGCGGACCCGAGCCTGGCACCGTCCTGCGGGATGCTGCGGGAAACCGTGCCCGCTCACAGGCTCTCTGGTCCGCAGCAGGTGTACCCGCGCCCCCCCCCACACGGTGCAACCTCCTCTTGGTCTCTAGCTAACCTCGGTCTGTCAGGTTGACCCCTCTGTTTTCAGTCCAGCATCAGCATCAGCAGCTAAGATGTACATGACAGTTTATAGGATAACGATGAAAATAAACATGCACTGCTCACAAGCTAAAGAGCAGGTGAATGCTTGTGTTACCTTCTTTCTTCAGTGGGACCGGAGCCTGGGGCTCGTCCTTCTTGTCCAGCAGCGGGTTCTTCCTGTCCTTCTGTGACTCCTTCTTCGGCTGCTTCGCGGCTTGAGCTGCAGTCTTGTTGGAGCCAGCGGCGGCCGCCTCCTTCTTCTTGTTTTCCGCCGCTTTTAGGATCTCAAACGGGTCGGACTCATCGTCCAGTAACTGGTCGAACCGGTTGGTTACGACACAGCCGAAGCCTTCCTGCAGGTGTCCGGGCATGATGGCGCCCCTTCAACGGGATTCACCTCCGATTCTACGAGGTTTGATGCGAACAATTCGCTGGATGCTGCCACAAGATGGCTGGGAGAGCTGCCCCTTCTCTTCCGGTGCGAGCACCATCCGGGACATCGTGCACAGCGCACCAATCTGAACACACTGAGGCTGCAATGTTTTTATTTACATTATGTAACTATGTGCTCTGATATCCTCCTACAGTAATCCGGGTTTTAATTTCTGAGAGGAAGTCACATGCAGGGGAAGCTTTCCATAGTCTGCTGGTCCTGTTTTGTCAAAAGTACATGATGCTGTACAGAACAAAACACTATTACATATTTCATGGTTTGGCTGAAGAAGTGTCACTTAGGTATTTCAATCATAAACCAATATACCTCTATTAGTCTACATTACTTAAATAAACATTACATTACATTTAGCTGACACTTTTATCCAAAGCGACTTACAATAAGTGCATTGACCAAGAAGATACAAACTTGAACAGAATCATATAAACTATAGATTCTATACAATTATTGCTGTTAAAAAATATATGCAGTGTGTTCAAGTCCTTGTATTTTGTAGCATTGACTCTGTGCTGCTACAAACACACATATCATAAGATTAAGTGGGATTTGTCAGTTTATAAAAAGCAGCAAATGTTGTGTTTAGAGCCAGCAGGGGCATGCTGAGCAACAGCTGGCGGAACAATATCTGACAAGACCGCCCTGTGCACAGACAGCTCTCAGCACTCTGAAGCTGTCACACTGGATTAAGACATATTCAGGAACTTTTTCATGTAACTCCAGTTTGTTTCACCAATGGATGTCATTGATTTTAAAAACAAGAGTGAAACTCTATTCAGGCCCAGGGCACGTGTTTATGACCATTGCTAATTTTCATCTTAGCGCTTCATTTTTTAGAGAACAACCATCCAGTCAAAATGTGTAATGAAATAAAGAAATAACCTAGAATGGTTGATTCCATACATTCACAAATAAATGGGTTTTTCCTTGGTCAATGCTACACTGTTTAATAAAGTTGAATGAAAATCAGGCAAGTAATTGTTCCCTAATGTTGCTGACAAACAAGAAAAAGCAGAGCTCGGAACATTTCACCGATTAAAGTTCAGTTACTTTTCTGAAATGGCTTTAAAAGAAGGCCTCTGATGCACATTCGTCATGTATATTTTTCTCTTATATTCCTATAATTAAAACAAAAAAAAGGCAATCATCTTGCAAACCAGTGTGCCGGGAGCAGCTAAAGCAAAACACAATGACATTAAGCAGTTGAGCCTCCAAAGCCCTATTGTTGCTACCACAAAGCAGTTATATTTTAGAATTTCAGTGAAATATCAGTAAAACAACTTGTGCATAAGAGCTTGTGAAAAGAAGAATTGTTTTACCCTGCATGTGTCTGTTAAAGACCTTGTCAGTGAGCATGTCATGCCTTTCAGCTAACCACATCATAATGTATGATCTGTGGTAAAAGGAGACCCTGGTGACAGCTGATGGAAGAGCTGGAGGTAAACCAGACCTTACAAGCAAACAGCTGATTCAAGTCTGTAAGGTTAGAAGCCCGCTGAAGAAGAACATGATACAGATATCAGGTGTGGTGGTATTTAGTTACAACATGAGACCTCTGCTGGTTATTGATCTCAGAAAGGGCAAATGCAAAGAAAAGTCTTGTGGAATTGTACTTATGTAGAAAAGACAACAGAGACACATTGTTCAGTGATACGAGACGCAAGCATGAAAAGAATAAGAGCACTTTATTCAGAGAAAAATGATCCATTACAAATGACTCACTATTTCACTGCACTAATTTCCTCGTCGGCATTTTCTTCACTCTGTTTCCTTCGGACTTCTTTCTCAAGCTCGAGGAGTTTGGAATAGAGGACATCGGACGTTCCTTCATCGATGTCCATCTGAGACAAGAATGAAAAACATTATTTTGACTTAAAAACACTTTTACTTCACTTCTTATGTTTATATAAATATTTGATTTCAACCTTTATTGGACTTTTTACTTTAGCTTCTTATGTTTATATAAATATTAGTAATCAATTTCTTTAAATGTATCTTTTATATAATTCAAAGCTGGAGCAACTCCCAAAACATTTTTCCTTGGAATAAATCAAATGTATATACATTAAAAAGTTAAGATATTCTGATTCAAATACATTCTAAATCACTGCAGTACTGTATTTAAAATATAGCCTACTTTAGTTCAATTGCACATATTGTGCTGTTTACAAATAAAGAAACAGCAGTTGTGCAAACATGCTAATGAGCCACGACTTGGCAGTGCATTTCTATATTTTTGAACAGGCCTAAAAATAAACTAGGCTTTCAATCATTAGTATAAAATAAAATATATGTATGTCAAATTGTATGTGGTCTAATGTACGAAAATGCACAAAATGAACCCTGTAAGTAGAGGATTATATTGTTATTATTATTATAAGCTAATTATTTAAACAGGTTTTGTAAAGAAATATGTCTGACACTAGCTTTGTAGTAGTAGTAGTAGTTACTGTGATCACTGTAAGTGGTTTCCACTGTACTCAGGTTCAGCTTGTTTCAATTTCACGTAAAGCAGTATGATGTCTCTCTGTGCCGGTCTCTGGTTACTCACCTGGCGAGGCTGAGTGTAGTTTGTTCCGAGTCCTGATGTTAAACTGTGATACTTTGCTCTGGGGTCCAGAGACTCAGGGTTTTGTAGAAACAGCCAGTGCTGTTAAAAAGCAGGACGTCGTGTTTATAGGAATTCATTTTAGAGATATGTGTGCATTATTTCGTACTGACAGCAACATACCAGCGCCTCTGCTCCGTTGTGTGGTGTGAGCGTGAATGTGTTGGTGAAGATCCTTATCTATTAAGCACAGAGAGTCACAATGTCAATGACACAATGTCATACTCCTTTCTGCACATATTCTGATTTCACAGTTTATATGCAAAAATTCATTCATAGCATTCTATTTTCATGTAAATTACTGCTTTATTTTATTTTTATTTTATTGCTAGTTAACTGTATTTTATTACGGTGTAAAATAATTTGTGTTTTATATTAGATTTCTTGTTTTTTATATTTTATGTATGCACCATGACATCAAGTCAAATGCCTAGTATGTGCGAACCTACCTGGCAATAAACCTGTTTCTGATTCTGAAAATACATCCCATTACATTATACAGTGCAAACCCTATGGAGTCCTTGGAGCGCCATAAAAACTAAATATGAGAAAACATTTAATGACACAAAAACATAATAAATAGGTAAATAACAAATAATGTAAAGATAAACAAATACAACAATGATTACCCAATAAAAAGATAATTAAATGCATTATCATTTTGTTCACATTTGTTTATTTTATTTTCTGTATTATGTATTTAAAAAAAAAAATACAGTATTTATTTTCCTTGTTCTTTTTTCTATTGATTTTGCTTTAAAAAAAAAATAAAACAGAAAATCTTGAGTAATTTATCTGCAAAAAACATATTTTAAGAAATAATGCATTATAATATTTCTTTATAATAATAATATATTTTTATTATGGCACTCCTATGGCTCCATAATATGCGATTCTAATCATGTTTCCCAGAGATGAGTTGGTTCACTTACCAGCCACATGACGGGCATGATGAGGGTCCAGAAGAAGGAGGGGAGGATCCCGTAGGTCAGGTTAGTCATCACCAGCCCGGGACAGATGACAGAGGAGAACAGCCCCTGTCACACACATTTATTTCAGGAACATTTTTACGATCTACCTGATGCACATTGTCAATAACTTTCTATTTAATTAACAAAGTTGATAGTGCTTTAAGAGTGGTGAGAGTTCTAAAAGTTATTTTATGCTTTAAAAAAAAAAAGGTAAATTAAACATTATTTGCAGGTCAATTAAAAAATCTAACTCTACTGGTATATCCAAAGGAGATCTAAAACTATAATATTTCACAGTGCAGATTTTTTACCCCGTCAACCAACGAAAAAATGAATTTTGCTATCATTTTATTCATTGGTCTCAAAAAAATACAAAACAAAGAGTTTAAAGAAAACAAACATAAAGGGAAACATCCGGGGAACGATAGCAGTTGCTTTTGATGGTTAATAGTATGTTAAAAAAGTATGTTCACATACATTTTTTTACTCTAACAAACATGCCTTTTGGCGCCACCTAGAGGAAACGGGACCACATTGTAACTTTTTTACACTGTTAAAAACTGTTTTACGGCCTGCTAAGACTTCTTTGCAGAAAAGGACTGCCTGCAGCCACTATAATGACCTTGTGACCAACCTAAATGTTGGAGTGTGTGTCAAACGTCACTCCTGAATCGGTAGTGTGCAGACTGTCTGATGGACTGACCTGGCTGTTCTTCTGCCTGTTGAGAGCCAGGCTGAGCATGTCTGAGGCGTACTTAGAGGAGCTGTAGGACTCCCTCCCCTCTCGGTGCTGCATGTCCTCCATGCTGAAGGCGGAGCGGCGGGCGTTACTGGAGGAGGTCCACACGAGCCTGGAGAGCAGCGGCTCCAGCTCCCTGATCTGCACCACACGGTACATGACTTATATACTATATATACTTTATGCATGTACGACTATAATACTAAATAACTATACTGTAATATCATATAGTATTCAGGACTGTATATAGGCTACAATGTCAGATTAAAGGGTTTTTTGTTATATTTTAGATTTCATATCTGTGGTGTACCAGGAGAAAATGACCGAAGAGGTTGGTGGCAAACACTTCCTGCAGACCGTCTGAGTTGAGGCGGTCCTGTTGGGTCAGGATCCCCTCGGCTGTGGCAAACATTCGGACCACATTCCTGCAGAGAGGAGAAAGTGTTACAGAACAGCATGGACACGGACAGGGTTTACAGCCATCAAACTTTAAAGACAACATTTGATGTTGAGAAGTGTGGTTGTATGAGGTAATTATCCATATTCAATTTATTACCAAATTGTAGTTATTCATAGTTGCTGTTTCACGGCAATGTTAAGCGGTGACACAATTGTAAATAAACAAATTAGATAGACTTTAACGCTTTTTTGTTTTCTTTAAGTGGGCCTTTCTTTTACGTACTTCCTGATCCACAGTAGTACATTGCTTAGATTCCTGCCTATTATTTTACCCGACTTAATTTAAATGTCTTCTTTTATAAAAGGCTCCCTTTTATTATAAAGGTCCTTAACGTTATTATTATTTTATATATATGTTGCATTGTTGGAGGAACCTCCGATTTAAGATTAAGATTTCCATTGCTAATCTACTCTGTAGCTATTGTGCAGTCACATATTTGAATCTTGGTACTCCTGTCTTCATCTCCAAACTGCCTTCGTGCTACGTTCCTCATACAAACTCACTTAAAAAAAATCGAACTTTATATAAATATGAAATCAAATTATAGGATGCAAATTAAAGTAAATTAGGAACTGGATTTTGGGACTAACCTGGAGAACAGACCCTTGAAAAAAGCATTCAAATCCAGTTGTGGATTGGGCATGATTCCTGCATTTAGATACAGGAAGTCAATTCTGTTGTATCTGCAGAGAAACACAAAGGTCAACCTCTTCAGGTGAGTGCAGGTATATCAACAGTGTCATGACATCACTGTGTCTCTGTGTCAGTACCTGGCCTTGACCTCCTGAGCGGCGCTGAGCACCGATTGGACAGAGCCCACGTCCAGCTGCAGGAGGTCCACATGTGCGTTGGAGTGAGAGGTCAGCAGGGCGGCGCGGGCAGCCTCCGCCCGCTGCATGTTCCTGCAGGCCAGACACAGCCGCAGCTGGCTGTCCTCCGTCAGCAGCCGCTCACACAGGGCCAGGCCGATGCCGCTGGACAAAGTGAGAGGAGGCAGACAAACATTAGGGTGGAAACAAACACCCCTAAGGACTCATCCTACAGACTTTGGAAGTGAAACGAGTTGTAAACATAGAAAACTTGTTATGACAGTTGTAGAAGAAATAAATATTAAAGACAGATACAGAAACAGGTTGTTGTCGCAAATTATAACACATCTAAATTAAAATGATTACAATGCATGTTGATAGTAAGAACCTATAATAGACCTACTCTGTAGAGTGTATTGAGAAAGTTTTAATGTTTTTGATGGAGGTAATAAATCACAGATAGTACCGCCGTAGATACACCAGTATTTTCTCATTTGTGTATGATTTTGTTTATCTTGGATGTATTTTTTTTGTGCAAGTTTTATTTATTATTTAAAATACATATTTACATATACATTTAAATGCATTTGAAAAAAAACCTTATGTGGATATATCTTTCAAATTGAATTAGCAATTTATGCATAACTGGTGCATAAATGTATGTTACAATTATAGTGCTAACACCATATACAATAAAATAAAACAAGTCCCATATTATTATTAAAGAATCACAGACCTGTGCATTAAAATAAATCTAAACACATTATAAATAATGTGGGTTCTTCCTCATTATAACTATGTTCCTTATGGTACATAAGTATAGTAGTACAGGTACTTTTACAACCTTTACATTTAATATATTTTGTTGTAGGCTATGGGTTGCGGTTAGCTTTTTTTGTAATTCCCCTAATGGTATCTTAATGTGCATGTTTTCCAGTGTACGTGATGGATGCACTTACAATAACATTGTGGATAAAAGAGGATTGAACTAACTAGCATTGTTATAACAGTTGTAAAACATCAGTCCGTTCATCATATTTTAGAAGCACTTCTCCCTCAGTGACGCTTTCAGCTCGTGCAGGTGTCACTCTGCAACAATGTTAAATACCGAGTGTCTCTTCATCGTTATAACGCTGTTTTAGTGACCTACCTGTTCGCGCCGGTTATGATGACAACTCTCTCCATGTCTGCCCGGAGCTAGCAGCGTCTGTACGCGAAGACGGGACCGTAATAAAGTTTAAACCAGGTGTGAATAATCTCTAAACGAAGCAGCCCATCGTCCGATTCCAATGAGATACTTTAGCCTATGTGTAGGAGCAGAGACGTGGTGTGATTGGATGTCAACAAACAACCAACCAATCAGGTCACTCACTACGGAGAGCGAAGAGGCCCAGAACAGCTAAAGAGCGCAACGACTGAAAATGTCGATTATTGATTATGTCTGTAATACGGTCCAAAACCAATTACAGATTCGAAGTAATAGTGCAAAAATACTGTGACAAGTTGAAATCCTGTCCATCTCGAAATTATTGTGTACAATTGGATTACAATTCGTGGTGCAATGTGTACATTATCTTTATGTTGCAGCTGGTAAGGTAGTTTGAACTGCTGAGTAGCTTTAAAGGTCACTTATTATGCAAAATCCACGTTTTCACGTATTTTTTACTTAAACATGTGTCCCCTCTGTGTAAAGAGATTCTGAAAGTTACAGGAAAAAAGATTCACTCACTTTTTGTCCTGATCCATTTATATCTGTCTGAAAATGAGCTGATCAGACTTTGGCCAATTTATGATGTCATAACGATTTGTTTGGCTTGTGTAACCATTAGCCAATCACCAACCAAGGTAACCCCCCCCCCCCCCCCCCCCCCCATATCACCTGAATCTCCTCTTAGAGCACCATTGTGTTCTTTTTAACTAAATCTCTCTCAGAGGGGCGTGGGGAGGGGCTCCTTATTTTCATCTAAAGTAACAGACAGAGAATCAGCACTTTGGAAACAGGGCTGAAACAGAGGGGATTATGGGTAATGCTGCAATGATCTGTTTGGTGTTTCAGAAAGACACTTCAGACACGTTTTGTATATATCTGAGACCTATAATATATTGATGTAAAACAGTATAATAGGGGAGCTTTAAATGTGACAATATATAATGAGTTACTTTATAGTTTATAGTTTTGTAAGAATAATCTAAATGTGAAGTAACTAGTAACTAAACCATTCAAAGTAGAAATAGCACATAATGGCAATACTTGAGTCTAGTAAAGAACAACAGTAAATGTAGCCTACTAAAGTATGTAATGAAAACAACAAGGAAACTGACATATAAGTAAAGATGTATTTTCTTTATTAAAAGACTCTTTGGTTTGACTTTGGTTTACTCTTTGCTACTATTCAAAGAAATATACACTTTCTGCAAAAGTCTTTAACATGTTTATAAAACATGTCTGAACAGCTGCGGAGTAAAAACAATATTACCATAATTATAATGTCATTTGTTCACCTTCAAATTACAAAGCATAAATATAAACATTCATCAAAATCCCACCTGTATTGACATCCTCTAATAAATGTGCAATAGAATTAGATTAGAAAAAGAATCAAAATAAAATCTATAGGATTACGGTAGAGTACTCTATAAATAGAAATAGAAAATCAAAAGGAATTAAAATAAATACACAAAGGAGTGAATAGTGCTAATATATATGATATCTACAATATAAAGCTTTGTTCAAGTTAATAGCTTGTTCTCTTATCTTGTTATTTACAGCGCCATTGTGGCTAACCAGTTTAAAAAAGATGGACAACATTTGATGAGCTCTTTACGAGACGAAAGTCATTCCAAATAAATCCAGACTGCATGGCGGAGGGATGATGTTTTGCATTTGCTACGCCAGGCTCTCCATCAGCTGAGTGTGGATGTCCTGGAAGCTCGGCCTCTGCTTGGCGTTCCTCCTCCAGCAGCTCAGCATCAGATCATTGTAAACTCTGTCCGGACAACACAGAGGCTTCGGCAGGTACACCTGGGAGCACGAGACACAATGTGACAGTAGGATTCATGATTAATGGGGACATTACGGGTGAGAAAAAAACAACCATTTATAGATTTCACCAGGCTTGGAGAGGAATGGAATACATGTAACAGGATTAAGATTTAGGATACAAAACTGTATTCTATTACAGGTACATACAAAAAGACACATTCAGATTACTTGTTCATTAAAAAAGAATGACGATTGCTTGCAGGGTTACAATGTTACATAACATTTAAAAAAACAAAACTGATTTATTAAGATGTGTTGAGTTTCTTGTAAGAGGAGCACCTTTCATTAAACTTTACTGTTTTGTCGGCCCATGCTTTTGTTCTTTTATTCATTTCGTATTCAGTAGGGCATTTCAGTGTGATCAGATTGTATTTTTGCTTTGATCCCTCTCCCAGGACTGACAAGCGTGAGTTATGTGTTGCGTGTGTAGATACAAAGAAATATTATAAGAAAACCACATAGATAATCCAAATGACAAAAATATGAATGTTAACACATATAAAAAACAAAGTCAAAAATATCCCAGTTGCGGCCAAATAATATTATGGTGGGCGTCAGGCAGGACCACGGCACAAAGAGAACCGAGACGATCAGAGCTTGTTCTCTGGAGGAAGTGTAACTGCTCACCTGCTTGCCCTGGTCCCTGAAGAACTCTCCTGTGTTCTCGATGACCTGCTCGTCAGAGAGCTGGGAGTACGGCTGCTTCTTACACAGAGTGAGGATCTCCCACAGAGTCACACCGTAGGCCCACACGTCACTGGCCATGGTGAACTTCCCCTGAGAGAACAGACAGCAAGAACAATGAGCATCGTCTTCATGTGGAAGCTGGTTTGTAATAATGATCACAGCTGCTATATAATGAGCAATCACAACTTCTGGATGTATGCTCAGGTTCTCAGGGAAGCCTTGTTTACCTTTATTTATATTTGATTGTCCTTTAGTTCAAACTGACAGAAATAAAATAAGTGAGATTAAAAGATAGTAAAATATAATATAAGTAATTGTAAGTAAAATGTCCAATTAAAGATGAAATCAAATGTAAAAAAAAGATCTATAAACATTGTATGTATTGCATTTTTCAATTGAGTGTAAGGCTGCCAAAACAATTATTGTTGCCAAAATGATTCACCATAATGATTGTGTTGCAATGTTTAAAACGAGGGGAGAAAAACAATAACGATCTTTGTTCATTCATCTTTTAGTTTGTTCTTGTGTAATTTGTCTCTTTTTTGGCAAATAAGGTTAGATGCCCTAAAATAAGATGTGTTGTTAACACAAGATAAACACGACTTGTGGATAATACATGTGTAATTACCCCACTTGTGAATTTCCCAAATTCTATTTGTCAAAAAAACGTGCTAACAAGAGGCCTTTCGCTCAGCGATGGTCTTGCAGATCCATGCGACCATGTTTTAGTGTGTGTATAGCCTACCGGTAGCTTTTACTTCTGCCGAATCATAAATGTGATATTAATATGTTGTATTACCCGGCTGAAAAAAACATGTTAAGTATCATAAACATGTTTTCCACATATAGTATTTTCTGCAAAATTCAATGGAAAAATCCAATTGATTTGTGCTGATTGAGCCCTTGCAATGCTAACTTTCAGATCAGCCTACTAACATACGTCCTCGCTGCAACGCTCTATATTCAATACCTTGAATCCTGTAGTTTGACTGTAGTCCAATTTAAGATGTATATAGTAAAAGCCAATGAACAACCATTTTACAAGTCTTCGAATCCAACTGGACCAACAGGACTGCTTTTTTCTCTTCCTCAGGAGCAGCGCTCACCAGCAGGATGCTCTCCCAGGACATCCAGCGGATGGGCAGCACGGCGCGGCCCTGGATCCTGTAGTAGTCCCCTCTGTACAGGTTCCTGCTCATGCCAAAGTCAGCGATCTTTATGGTGTAGTTCTTCCCCACCAGGCAGTTACGGGTCGCCAGATCACGGTGCACAAAGTTGAGAGAGGACAGGTACTTCATACCGGACGCAATCTGCACAGCCATGGCGATGAGTTTACTGTAGCTGCAGAGGCAACACAGAAACAGAACACAGTTGGAAATATGGTAAACATACAGTAGTGTTCAATGTTGGGGAGTAGCATGTCATTTAACTTGAACTATATTTTGCAACTGTAAGCTTACATTTTGGCTACATTCATAATTGCATGGTAATTGAAATGGGGACATTCGTTTGCTATGTTTGTGTTGGTATCCACTGAAAATAAATGTTGGGCTTTCAAAGAAAAAGGAATATTGTATTACTATTATTTTAACATTGCTTCTAAACGTATAACTGTTAATACTGCATAAAAAGGTCTGAAGCAGTTTTAGCTGTTAATAGTGTACAGATATTGTAAGATATTTTCCGATATTAGAAAAGGACCAGTGCAAGTTGGCAGGGGGTGAAAAGTTAGGACGATTGTAAGGGCCCGTGACTGACAGGGGCCAAAACTATTTTAGAACATTAAGAAGTAACCTTTCATCATTCATCAATAACAGTGGCGAGCCGTGACTTTTATACCTAGGCCCTCTGATCCCCCCCCCCCCCTTCCCTCGAAAAAAAAGAAAGACAAATAGTTATTACGTCACAGCGTATACTTCAGCGGAATATCAAAACAACGGCCAGGGGTGCAAAACACATCAATGACAGCCTGCCTGTTAGTTGACTAAATAGATACATATTTGCAGTTTAAAAATACAAGTTAAATGCAATTATGAATCAACGGTATTAAAAGAGTTCAGTTAAAAATAAAAGAGAAAATAAGGAAACTGTGAAGCTGAGAAAAGAGGTCAGGTGTACAGTAAATGATAATGTATTGTTAGTGTATGAGCCCACCTGACCATACTCTCCCCCTCCTCTTCCTCCGGCTCTGCCTTGTCTCCACCAGCGGCCTCCTTCAGTCGCAGCATGCAGAGGAACTGGTTCAGGTCTCCGTTCTCCATGTACTCTGTGATCATACACAGCGGGTCGGTGTCCACACACACCGCCAGCAGACGCACGATGTTGGGATCCCTGAGGCGGGACATGATCCGGATCTCCTTCAGGAAGTCGTTCCTGCAGCACAGCGGGGCAAACTATTGTCATTTACTGCTTCATTGACTGAGATTGTCACAATAACATCATTTTAAACCTGATACGACACTAGTGCAAAATGCAATACTTGACATTTATTTCGACACAAGAGGAGAAAGGGGAGAAAAGGAACACTAAATGTTTTGTTTCTCTTTTATTTTAAAAGAAA